CGTATTGTAGGAGATTATCGAGCACTTAATAATGTTACAATTCCTGATCGTTATCCAATTCCTAATATACAAGACTTTTCAGGTAGTTGTGTTGATGCAAAATTGTTTTCAAAATTAGATTTAGTTAGAGCTTATCATCAGATTCCAATTGAACCTTGTGATATTCCAAAAACCGCAATTACTACACCATTTGGACTATTTGAATATGTAAAAATGAGTTTTGGATTGAGAAATGCAGCTCAAACATTTCAAAGGTTCATTAATGAGGTACTCCGGGGGTTTGATTTTTGCTTTGTGTATCTTGATGATATTCTCGTGGCTAGTAAAACTGAGGGACAGCATGAAGAACATTTACACAAAATTTTTCAAAGACTAGAAGAATATGGCGTAATTTTGAACCCAGAAAAATGTAAATTTGGGTTGAATGAAATAGAATTTTTGGGTCATTTAGTTAATGGCAGAGGAATAAAACCCTTATCTGCAAAAGTTGAAGCAATTCGACAGTTCCCGGTTCCGTCTTCTCAACGCAAGCTCCAAGAATTTTTGGGTATGGTAAATTTTTACCATAGATTTATTCCAAATTGTGCAGATTTATGCAAGTCCTTGTATGATCTCGTTAAATCTAATAAGAAAAAGAATTTTGTTTGGACAAATTGTGCTCAGAATGATTTTGTCAAGATTAAAGAAGCATTAGCTACTGCAACATTTTTAAATCACCCTAGGGAAAATGTACCTCTGAACATTATGGTGGATTCTTCTGATTTTGCAGTAGGTGCAGTTTTTCAACAATATCATAATAATTTTTGGCAGCCTGTGTGTTTCTTTTCAAAAAAACTTACACCTACTGAACAGAGATATAGTACATTTGGAAGAGAACTTTTGGCAATTTATTTGGCTATCAAAAAATTCAGGTATTTACTTGAAGGCAGGGTTTTTCATATTTTAACAGATCATAAGCCACTGGTATATGCAATCAAATCAAATTCAGATAAATATTCCCTTAGAGAATTTAGACATTTAGATTTCATTTCACAGTTTACTACAGATATTAGACATATTTCAGGTAAAAACAATGCTGTTGCCGATGCTCTAAGTCGCATTGAGTTAAATTCGATTTGTTTGGAAAATATTAATTATTTAGAACTTGCGAAAGTACAAGAAACTGATCAGGAACTAAAGTTCTTTCAGAATTCAGACAATACTTCTTTGTTATTGGAAAAGTTTCATTTAGATGACGAATCAGTTGAATTGTTTTGTGATGTATCAACAGGCAAGGCTCGTCCGTTTATCCCAATTAAGTTTCGGTATAAAATTTTCAAAATTATGCATTCTTTATCACACCCTGGAATTCGTGCTTCACAAAAGCTTATTTCATCTAGGGTAGTCTGGCCAAACTTAAGATCTGATATTAAGAGGTGGACAAAAGAATGTGTAAGTTGTCAAAGGTCTAAAATAATTAGACATACGGTAAGTCCTTTGTCACAATTTGAGACTCCTAAAGACAGATTCAGTCACTTACATATCGATATTGTGGGTCCTTTGCCCTGTTCTAAAGGTTTTAAGTATCTTGTTACTTGTATAGATCGGTATACTAGGTGGCCTGAAGTAATTCCTGTTAAAGATATTAATAGTTCTACGGTTGCTGAAGCTTTAGTTTCTCAGTGGATAAGTAGATTTGGTATACCAACTTTTATTACATCTGATAGAGGATCTCAATTTGAGTCAAAATTATTTAAAGAATTAATGTTAATTCTCGGCACTCATCACATTAAAACAACAGCTTATCATCCTATTTCTAATGGTGTTATTGAGCGATTTCATCGAAGTCTCAAAAGTGCTTTGACGGCGGTTGATGGTATTCATTGGGTTGATTCGCTTCCCATAGTCATGCTTGGGCTGAGAACTTGCTTTAAGGATTCTATCCAATGTAGTGCTGCGGAAATGGTTTATGGGACTACTTTACGTATTCCTGGAGAATTTTTTGAGAATTCTACTTCTGAAAGCCAAACTTCTTCTGACTTTGTTATAAAACTTAAAGAATTTATGCAAAACTTAAAACCAGCAACCTCAAATTTTAAACAAAGAAAGTTTTTCATTAACAAAAATTTGTTTGATTCATCGCATGTTTTCGTTAAGATCGATTCTCATAAGAAACCTTTATCGTTTTCCTATAATGGTCCATTTAAAGTTTTGGAGAAATCAAATAAATTTTTTAAAATAGATTTAAACGGAAAACCCTATAATGTATCAATTGATCGTATTTAACCAGCGTTTATGGATACATGTTTGTTGGATAATTCTTTGGAATCAGTATTGAAGGTGAAAAAATCTGCACCAGTGAAACAAGAAATAAATAAAAAAATAAAAAAAGTGAGATTTAAAATTTCGAAGTAGAATACTTCTGGAGGAAGGTTATGTAGTGACCTTTGTGTTTTTACTATTGTATTTTTACCTTTATGTTTTTACCTTTGTGTTTTTACCTTTGTGTTTTTATTATTGTTTATTTTTTTGTGTGTAGTTAGCTTTGGTTAGTTGTTAGGCAAGGTTGTGGAGATAAATAATTTCGTTTTTGTTTATTATTATTATTAAAAAGTTATTAACTGAATTGCTCCTAATTCTTCCAGAGAAGTATTTTCTCATTTGAAATATTGTGTTCAGACAACACAATAAGCTACAGGGTCGGTTAAATTAGAAAAAAGTTGCCTTTTTTGATGCTTATTCAAGACTTATTTACAGTGTTGCCAAAGTCCTTTTAGTTTATGAAATACAGGGCGATTTATAAAAAAGGCCTAAAATGATTTCATCAATTATTTTGAAAACTATTGATATTCGAGACACAATTTAAATTTGAAAGTTTTATAATTTTTTTCGCTCTACAACATGGCATCTTCAAATTTTAAATCCGACGTTTCGTGATCGAGCTACGATCATCAACTTATTTTTTTTAAATACGGACCTGTATTTTTTATGTCATTTTTGGAAAAAGAATTAAGGGCACTTCCTAAAAATGACATAAAAAATTCAGGTCCGTATTTAAAAAAATGAAGTTGATGATGGTATTTCGATCACGAAACATCGGATTTGAAATTTGGAGATGTCATGTTGTAGAGCGAAATAAATTATAAAACTTTCAAATTTAAATTGTGTCTCGAAAATCAATAGTTTTCGAAATAAATGATGAAATATTTTTGGCCGTTTCTTAGAAATCACCCTGTATTTCATAAACTAAAAGGAATTTGGCAACTCTGTAAACGAGTCTTAAATGGGCATCAAATAAGGCAACTTTTTTCTAATTTAACTGACCCTGTAGCTCTTACCGTTTCGGATATAGCAATAGTGGTATCACTTAAAATATACACCCTGTATATGGGAAGATGATTGAACAACTTACGGCTTTCATATATTATAGAGTTCCTGACCAGGGCAGAGGATGGAATAGGCAAGTGCAGATCTCGTGACTGTCTAGTGCTATATGAGTGGACAGGCACGGGTAATGAGTTTTTATGTTTGTATATCATGCAAACCGTTTCGAGAATGAACAAAGATGGCAAGGTTAAAAGTTAAAATCCATTTAGATCTAAACAACGGTCTGCATGAATCCCGGCTTTTTGCACCACAAATGTACCTTAGTGCTCGCTTTTGCAACACAAACAGCGAGTTCAGTAGATAGTTGCACGTATTCCCCCAAAACACAATTCCGTACCGCAGATGAGACTCTACCAAGGAGTGGTAGACCTTTTTAGCCAAGGAGGCACCTATCTCCATTGATGTCAATCGGACCGCATAACATCCCGAGGCCACCTTCCTCGTAAGTCCTTCAATATGAGTATCAAATTTCAAATCATCATCAATAACGATGCCCAAAAATCTGATGTTAGTTTTTGACAAGAGAGGAGTTTCGCCTAGATATAAACCATCCATTGCAGCGAAATCTCATAATGTTGGTCTTATCAAGATTAAGGGTAAGCAAATTGGAGTCACACCACTGCCTAAATTTGGGAATATCAGCAGAAACCTTAGCCTTCAACATATCAGAGCCAGACTCACGCCAAGTGATGGTGGTGTCGTCAGCAAAAAGCGTAAAATGTCCTGCAATATCTATAGAAGCCAGGTCATTGACGTAGATTAGGAAAAGAAGCGGTCTCAGCACTGATCCCTGAGGAACCCCATGGTAAATTCCGGCGGCCTTCGATGTCTCAGAACCAATAGTGACTCCCTGGGTGCGTTCAGCAAGATAAGATCGAAACCACCTCAAAACCCGACCCCTGAAGCCGTACCTACACGCTAACCTTCTTCAACAGAATTTTATGACTCACGCAGTCAAATGCCTTCGACAGGTCAAAGAAAACGGCCGCCACAGACTCTCCGCCATTAAGGGCAAAATAGACCTCCTCAAGAAACCCAAATACGGCATCGTCAGTGCTCTTCCCTGACTGAAAGCCAAATTGACATACATTTAAGATTCTATGCTGGTTGAGAAAGGACATAATACGCTCCTTTACCAGCTTTTCGATGATTTTTGAGAGGTTTGACAATAAAGAAACGCCAACATCTGGCTCCAAGGTAGAAGCCCATAACCCATATTATTGGCAAAAGCCATATGGGCCAGATGAGACCCGTTACCTTCACTCTCCATCTATCTTTCTCAGAGTTCCTGATTTATATAAATGATCAAAAAATGAGTCTGAAATATCACTGATCTCGAACCAGAGAACGTCGAATGAAGAATAGATACATTGGGCCTCTTTATAGATTAATTAAACATTACTGAAACTTTACAAATATGTATTAACACTTTTGTTAAAAAACTGATTGAAAACCTTCATGTATTACCATCACAAATCACAATCAATTTACATTTAGAAATCTGATATAAATCTATCAGAACATCAGGATCTGAGTTTACCAGATCCAGCTATCCCTTAGTCACTATGTCCGCAAAAATATATATTAGATTTTGATATTGCTATAAATATTTTGTTTATTTTATCACTTTTTAGGTATGCCAAACGAATCTTCTTAGTTTTCCGTGCAGTAGTTTCAGCTTACATAGCGATGACTTCATTTGCCATGGCTGTAATAGCTTACCAAATAGTCCAAGCTGATAGAGTTCAAGACAGTTTGAGGTACACCATGTTGCTTTTAGGATGGGGATCATTATTTTTCCTGGTGTGTCTCCAAGCGCAAAAAGTGCAAGATGAGGTAATAGTTATTTATATTACTAGTACGGTATGAGCTTCATTACAGTAACGAGTGGGGAATATTGCCAAGACGAGGTCGTAGACCGAGTCGTGGTAATCACACGAGTGGTGTAATGAGCGTTACCGTACGTGTTATATACATGATTTTATGTACGACCCAGATTTTTTTCATATATTCGAAATGGTTTTGATTTTTCACAAAAGATTATATTTATAATTTTTGATAAATGAATTTTGAAAAGTGCCGTTTTTCAATGAAAATGAGTTACGTAATGAGCTCTCATTACATCACTGAGTGATGTAATGAGAGCAGTGAGAGCTCATTACATCACTGAGTGATGTAATGGGATGTTATGAACCAATAAGATAACACAGTGGTTATAGGAACATTTAATTATATCTCTAATTTTCTATTATATTTACTATGTATTTTGCAGAGAGGCCTGACCATGCCTTGTCGGCTCAATATGGCTTTACCTTTCGGACTCTTGTTTTATATCCCTCTATTTTCATAAACTGTTAAATTGTCGGAATGATGTCCAATAACTATTTACGTGCCCGAATAGGGTTTAGTTTTTATTATTGTATAAACTTCCCAAAAAAATCCCAAATCATTAAATATTTTAGCACCAATATAAGTAACATCTGTAAAATAGCGTTAAGGTACTTTCAGTGAATAACTAGAGGAACTCCCGCCCTTTCGAAGGAGGTTCCAGGACGTTTCCTTCTTTCAGGAAAGAAGACGAGAAGACATTCAGAATTCCATCTTGACTCTGACAACATCTAAAGTTACCTCTCATAACTGACAAAGTGTCCTTCCCAAAACTTATAAATTTTCACAAATAAACGAAACCTTTTTTTATTAAATCAAAAGATATAGTTTTAATTCTAGTGTAGGTATATTTGGGATAAAAGTCACAGTTCTTGTGGCTCAACTCCTAACATTGGTGGCAGCGGTGAGATTTCGTGGTGTTGCTCGCAGGAGCGCCTAGTACGCATCAACACCCTTTCCGGAAGAAAAGTCCTGGGGCTATTTGAAGGCGCGCCCAGACGCAGCAAGTTTCCTCGGCAAGCAGAGAGCAACTGTTAACTGGTTTGCAGGAGCGCGAAGACGCAGCGGACTGTAGCAGCAGAAGATCGACAACTAGTTTCCAATCCCAGGAAATGAACAAGTAAGTCCTTTCTTTGTTTTCTGTGTGACGCTATTTTCTTCAAAACTTTTTTGTTAAGTTAGGAATAAGATTTTATTAAACACGTATTATTATACAAACAGAACGTGAATATTATTATCAATAATTATTATATTTTAGATAGGTACTGCAAATAACAATTATTTATCGATTGAACGTAACATAATCAATTTTTTTTAAATTACATATAAATTTTGAGCAAAAATGGCTGGTAAAGACGCATTTGACGTTTTAAATCAAATTGATCCTTTTGATGGGCAAGGTGATGCTAATTCACTAAATTTTTTTCTAAAAAGCTGTGATGCGATGATGAAAATCGTAAAGGACACAGAAAAGGCTAACTTAGCTGAATTAATTTTCGCAACTAAATTGAAAGGGAAGGCACAAGAGGTAACACAATATAAAGAATTTGAAAACTGGGAGGAAATTAAAGACTTTTTGATAGAAAAATTCACAGATAAGAGACCTCCTTCTTATTTTTTAAATTTATTAACTAATATAAAACAAAATCATAGAGAGAGTATTAAAGAATACGGTGATCGTATCCAAAAATTTTTTAACAAATATAAAGAAACTTGTAACTTGAATTATATTCCAAATGAAGCTAAAGTACTAATAGAAAATTTGCAATTATTACTAGTAACTAATTTTAGGAAAGGTCTTCAGGACGAAAAAACTCAATTACGCATAGTTGCGGAGAATACCACAAATTTAGAAAGAGTTATATCAGTAGCAATAGAGCTTGAGCTTGAGCAATATGATAAAATGAAAAACAATCAAAATTATAGAAATATGAATGTTGTACAAAATCATGGAAATAGGAATTTTAATTTTAATCAAGGTTCAAGTCAAACTTTGTGTATGTTTTGTAATATGAATAATCATTTGACGTCGCAATGTAGACAACTCCGTAATTTTGAACAAAGTCAACCGAGAAACGAACAATTTTCATCTTCTCGACAAAGAAATTTTAATTCAAATCAGAGCAATCACAATTTTTCAAGAAATAATTCCTATTTACCAACGCCAAATAACAATATAGATCGTCCTTTTTCCAGTGGTTATAATAACTACGGTCATAATTACCAACAAAATCATTCGTACCAAAGATTCCAAAATCAAAACTCTAGACGATTCAATTCCAACAATTACTACAATCAAAGCCAGTTTAATAATCAACGAAATTATCCCATTGAAAATGCACATGACCAAAACTTTCCTAGGCAACAAAGAGATTCGTACGAACGAAATAATGGTTCGTATCTCCCAAATCAGCAAAATCCTCAGGCACGCGATTCATTTACTTCACAAGTGCAAACCATTCAATCGCAAATCTCGACCTAAAACAATTCAGTCAATAATCCCCCCTCATTACCTAGTGCCTCATCCCAAGAAAATTTTTCGGGAAACGAGTGAACAGCCATGACCGCGAACAGCCGACTATGGTGATTAAAAATTACAATAGCTGTTCAAATAATAAATTATCATTTTCTTCTCCAAACACATCAAATAGTAACAATTCAAGCAACAATAAATTAAATTCGTCGCGTAAAACCATTATGATTTCCGAAAATTATAAACAATTAGATGTGATTGAAATATGTTCTTCAAATATAAAAAATTCAGTTGTTCGACTTTTATTGGATACGGGCGCAGACGTGTCCCTCTTAAAAGCAGGTAGAATAGAAGATGACTCTGTAATCAATAAGGAAATAATCGTAGAATTGAAGGGTATTAGTGAGCAACCAATTTACACTTTGGGTACCTGTTTTATTTCAATTAAACTAGAAAATGAAAAAACCTTGAAACACGAATTTCACGTCATTTCTGATAGCACATCAATTAAAAACGACGGTCTTTTAGGACGTGATTTTCTACAAAAGTATAAAGCTAAAATCGATTACGAAAAGGAAAGTGTTAACTTTGAGAACAACCATTTTAAATTGTTACCTTCTGAAACATTCGTAATTATTCCTGCAAGATGCGAAACAATAATTTCCGCTTTGGCGAATATGCCAGATGCCGAAGGGATTGTAAAACCAAAACAAATATCTGACAAGCTATATTTAGGGACTACATTGACCAAAGTTAAAAATTACAAATGTTTTGTCAGTATTTTGAATATTTCAGACGAAGATTTTACAATAACCATGCCTAGAGTTAGTGTGGAGCCTTTCATCCAAAATAATGTGGATATTACAGAAATAAATAGTATGAGCCAACTCGAACGTTTAGAAAAATTAAAAAAATCATTGAATCTTGAAGGACTTAACAATGAAGAAACTAATTCGCTACTAGAAGCCTGCAACCTTTATAATGATATCTTTCATTTAGACGGTGATAAACTTTCTTGTACAAACACGGTCCAACATAATATACCCACAGATCCTTCTAAGGGACCAATTAATACTAAACCCTACAGATTACCATTCAAACATCGTGAAATAATAAAAGAACAAACGGATCAAATGCTGAATGATGGTATAATTTCTCCGTCGTGTAGCCCTTGGAATAGTCCTCTATTAGTGGTACCAAAAAAGAGCGATCCCTCGGGTGAACCAAAGTACCGCGTATGCGTAGATCTCAGAAAAATTAACGATAAATGGAAAATTATAACTTTTGTAAATATAGATAGTCTAAGCGATAAATTTCTAAGTTTAAATAACTATTATACGATGACCTTAAATTTATGCAGACACGAAAATGCGCAATATCACTATTATATATGTGATTCTTTTGTGAAATTCACTAAATATAATCTCAACAAAATTAATAGAGAATTACAAGTTCTGCACGAATTAGTGGGTCATGATATAGTATCCAGAAATAAGAGAGGTTGGTTTGACATAATAGGAAAAGCAACAAAAGTTTTATTCGGGATCTTAGATAACGACGATGCAAAATATTATGACGCTAAAATTTCGGAATTCTCAAAAGATGAAAACTCAGTAATTAATCTTTTGAAAGAACAAACAAAAATAGTGCAATCCACCTTGATAAACTTTAACAATACAATAGGCACATTGGATTTCAATGAGAACGTCTTGAAAGGCAATATAGAAAAAATCGCGAAGGAATTGGATAAAAACCAAAAAGACGTAAAGTTTCTAAACTTAAAAACAAATTTAGAAGACCATGTTACAATAACGAATATGATTTTAAATCAGTTACAGCTAGAAATCATGTCACTCACCAACGCAATCCTTATTGCTAAAAAGGGAATATTGCATCCGGCTATCATGACGCCTGTCCAATTAACAAAAGAATTAAGACAAGTTTTAGAATCTCTTCCCCATGGGTTGGAATTCCCGATACCTTTAGACACATCCAATGCAAACATTTTGCTAAATATAATTTGAGTTACAAGTTTTCTTTGAAAATAAACGTCTTATATATATCATAAACACACCTCTTGTAGAGACGCAATTATTTTATTTATACAAAATATCACCGTTTCCCAAACTAGTAGTATTGAATGAATTCATTTTAATTCAACCTTCCTCAAAATATATTGCAATAGACGAAAGTAAACAACAATTTGTACAATTTTCAGATATGGAATACATATCTTGCATTAAGTTGCTAGGAAATAAAATTATTTGTAAGCAACATAAGCCAGTATCTCTTGCACATCTCGTAGACAATTGCGAGATTAGACTATTGCAAGCTACTTATTCTGATAAAATTCCCGAAAATTGCGACAAACGCATAGTTACTTCTAAGAGAGGCATTTTTATTCAATTGTCAACCAGTAACACTTGGATATTTGCAGTACCTAATACAGAAACTTTAACCATATCTTGTACCAATAATGATAAGCCAATGGATGTTACTTTAAAAAATTGTGGTAGCGTCACACTTGCGAAACAATGCAAGGCTTATAGTTCTTCAACAATATTAATGCCTCATGACAATATCTATCAATCAGAAGTGTACAGTGAAATTGTTCCGCCATTTGATATTATTGATGAGTGTTGTGAAAAAGTGAAAGAACATCAGATAAATTTTTCGGAAATTGTGTTGAACCAACATTATAAAACGTTGAGTAAACACATACCCGAACTTAACATTGCTAGTCATAAGTTGGACGATATAGAAAAATTAGCAGATGATATTCACAAAAACAAAGCTACATCTCGCTACACATTTTCTGCTTCTATACTGGCGTATATTTTAGCAATCATTGTACTATTTTATTTAGGTTATAAATTCTATAAGAAATGCATTTGTCAAAAAAATAAAAATTCTTGTTGTGGCATTCCCAATTTGTGTATTAGAGTCAATCAAAATGTACAGCCATCCTATCCAAATAATGAATATGCAGCTCGATATATAAACAGAAATAGAGCAGTAAGAAGTACAACTGGTGATGATGATTCGGACGAGGAAAATGTTTCATTAGAATTTCCTCAACGGAAAAGTATTGGCTATGCACCAACAAGACGAGCAGTCAAATAAACTTAGTTTTCATAAACATTTTCTTCCTGATGTCATTTACTGTTTTTAGCATAAATATAGTTATAGGTTATATAGCTATTAGTCCATTTTTTAATTGTATCATATTACTTTAGAAATAACTTACTATAATTATCTACTTAAATTTTATACAAGCTTGATCAGAGATTTTACTTCATTTGATTTTTCATTTAAATTACATAAAATCTCTCATTAAGAGGGGAGGTGTTATGAACCAATAAGATAACACAGTGATTATAGGAACATTTAATTATATCTCTAATTTTCTATTATATTTACTATGTATTTTGCAGAGAGGCCTGACCATGCCTTGTCGGCTCAATATGGCTTTACCTTTCGGACCCTTGTTTTATATCCCTCTATTTTCATAAACTGTTAAATTGTCGGAATGATGTCCTATAACTATTTACGTGCCCGAATAGGGTTTAGTTTTTATTATTGTATAAACTTCCCAAAAAAATCCCAAATCATTAAATATTTTAGCACCAATATAAGTAACATCTGTAAAATAGCGTTAAGGTACTTTCAGTGAATAACTAGAGGAACTCCCGCCCTTTCGAAGGAGGTTCCAGGACGTTTCCTTCTTTCAGGAAAGAAGACGAGAAGACATTCAGAATTCCATCTTGACTCTGACAACATCTAAAGTTACCTCTCATAACTGACAAAGTGTCCTTCCCAAAACTTATAAATTTTCACAAATAAACGAAACCTTTTTTTATTAAATCAAAAGATATAGTTTTAATTCTAGTGTAGGTATATTTGGGATAAAAGTCACAGTTCTTGTGGCTCAACTCCTAACAGGGAGTTCATTACATCACTAAGCACGATAATGCAACTTATTACGTAACTCAAACAGGTTAAAATGAGTTACGTAATAAGCTCTTACAGTGTAGGTCGTACATAAAATTTCTTAAATAGTTTGAGCATAAAGGTAAAGGTTTTTTTTTCTTATTTAGTCTGTGGCAATATCAAACTCGATCTACAACAGCGGATGGGCTGATGACTTTTTTGACTCAGACATTAGGAGGAGCATTATAATAACCATGCGTAGAGCTCAAAAACCGGTTCATTTGAAGATCTCCTGTTTGGGGATCATTTCATTGTCAAGGTTTATCACGGTAAATACCAATTATTAACTTGAATGTACTTTTATCATAAAGCAAATTATTTTAGATTCTAAAAAGTGCTTATTCGTTTTTTGCCCTTTTGGTGACCCTTACAGAGAGGACCGAAACCCCACGTGCAACATAAGAGATTCAACTGTTGAAATATATTAAAATAGTTATTAGTTTAAGCACTTTAGTATAGTATATCTGAATATTATAATAGAATTTTATTTGTTATAAGTTCCAACAAATTTTCTTGCCCTCCAACTGTCCTTATTTGTATATTATGTAGCTTATTTTGTATTGTTTTGTTGTTGAAGTGTGAACCAAGAGTCTATTGACAAAAATCACCTTAATTGGATGTTTGTCAATTATTTCTGGATCCAAATTTAGAACAGGAAACATTGATGTTGATCATATATTTTAAATGTAGCTTTGTCAATAAGATTTTTATCTTGGATAATAATAATAAAGCAGTTCTTGATTAAGATTATTTATTTTCTTTTTTGTTATATTTAGCAACAGCTTTTTGAGCATTAGACAAATTATTTAACTTCGACTTCCCAGCTGTGGCTCTGATTTCTTCTTCTACAGCTTTATTAACTGTTTTTGTGACGGCTTGTCTCAGTTTGTTGGCTTCCTGGAGTTTCTGCTTTTTCGGTTTCATTGGAGCATCTAAAGATAACAATGTAATAAACTATATTTTCCAGTATTATAATATATTCTTTTTTCTATTCCATTTACATAATAACTTGTTATCAGGTGTAGAGTAGGTATATGCTAGACTTAAGGACTAGATATTAGGTATAGAAGAGATTGCCTTCTTAAACTACTTACTTAAACGTTTGGTATTGGCTGGACCTTTCTTTTGATTTTTCTTGGTGTTTGGTGGAGGTTTGCTCTTAATTTTCATCTTACCTTGTGCCATTGTTTATAAGTAATTATTTCAAATTATACAAAAATAAAGATTATTAATTATTATGTTTGAAGGTGAAAGCATTCCTTTCTTTACACTTAATTTCTAGGTTATGTTATTTATTTTTCAGTAATCAAGTAGGAAGCACGTGTCAAACGCAGGGATGCCAATTTGTGATTATTTTACTAAAGTCTGTTTTTTTTTAAAGATAATTCCCCAAGTCAAAAATCTAGTAACTATGTTGGCAACACAAGCCTTTTCTACATAAAAAATTTGAAAGCATTGACAATTTTATATTGGATTGCCAACAGAATGTCATTTTGACTTTTATCTTTAAAAAAAAACAGATTTTACACCTTTTTCAATTTTGTAATTCGAGTGTCTGAACTCTGAAAATAGGGCGGTAAAATAGGTGTCAAACCTCATATTTCAAAATCTATTGAAACCTCTATCTGACCCAAGCTACATTACCAAACTTAGGAAAAAAATTGATTATCTAGGTATTTCCCCAAATAATAAACTATTGGTATGGGTAGCTCAGGAACAGATTTTAGAATTCTGGTGCTATAGTAAGCTCTCAAAGCAGGTCTGCTAAAAAGTGCACTTTTCCATACGACTTGGGTGTTACAGCAATCTCTAATAGGTATGGGAGAGCTAGAATTCTTCTAGGCCTTATTGTAGGAAAAAAAAACTACAAAGCACCATAAATACCTACATGTAAAATTACGTTTATTTTGTTTTAGCAGACTTACATTTACATTTTTCATGAATAGTTACAATAATTAAATGATTTTCGGTTGCTATTTTATAAGTTACTTTATTTAAATATTATGTACGTTTTTAAACTTAAAAAAACCTATTATTTAGTTTGGTTTGCCCCCCAAAATGCAACTATATACTTTTCATTTTAAAACTTAATTAGGGAGACACAATTAGCATTTTCGAGTAGCAAACGAAGCAAAAAAAAAAAACAAACAAACATGTGTGTGTGTGTAAACCCCAGGCAGCAAGCCCCCTCCAAGATTTTCCCTAAAATAAAATCACAAAACACCGCAAGTGTACTCTTCGGCGTCCAATTCCAAAAAGCGCGGCGCCGCCGCTGGTTGACCTGCGCCGTTGTTGTTGGGGACGCGCCGCCTGTTACCCCCCTCGACCAGCGCCGCTGGTACCGACCCCATACCGGGCTAGAAGCAGCTACCCTCTGGAGGCTGCGCCAGTTTCATGTTCTCTTTCAAGGTCATCAGACGGCGTAACTCTTGCAACACTGTTTTGATCGTGTATTCGCGTTGCCATCTGGCTAACACTGGAACTTGTCTATTGTCCACCTGAAATTAAAAAAGATATATATAACAGCATTATCAGAAAGGTTGTGTTTGGAGAAAAAGATTGAGATTATTCCGAGGAAGTTACTCCATGCGGAAGAAATATAAGTGAGTATGTACAGGGTGATCTATCAATGTCACCCCCTCCTAACATTTTCATTTGACTTTTTAGATAGAAGTGTCAAATACAAGAGTTTTAAGGGGGCGTTAATGACATTGAAATTATCAGTTACCGATGTGTTCTGATTGGTTGATTTTTTACACATACACATTATTTTCCATTTTGAGAAAAAAGCAAAATATCGAAAAACTAAAATATTGGCATTGTAAACAATTGCTTAGAATGTTTGTGCCTTTGAGCCAATTTTGATTGGTGAGGTTTTTTTTTTGACTTTGCAGACGAATTAGGGAATCCAAACCACGTGACTTTGCCAACCAACCGGAATTAGAAATTTTTATGAAGTTAGAATACGGGTTGTTACATGTCAACGATGTCAGGAAAGTGTCACATTTGAAAACTCGCCCTGTGTATTGATAATCCCGCCAAAAGAAAACATATGTTTTTTGTTTATTGTTTGCCAACCAGGCGCCATTTTTGATTTGACAGGTCGTTGGATTGCCCAATTTGGAAAAAATCAATAAAGAACGGACAGATGGGACAGATTTCAATGTCACGCCTCCTCAAGGAGTCAGTTTCAAGCATAGATACAAGGTGCGTCAAAAAAGCGTAGCAGAGCAAAATTATATTTTTATTTACATATTTATTTTTTTAAATGGAACACCACTTATATTGTGCGTTTAAAGATGTACAGGGTTGTTCCGTATATTTAGACAGCATATAGCTCGCTTATGAAGCAACATAGAAAAAAAATGTAAATACAAAGTAAATAGGGATTTGCGATTTACCGCTAGAAAATTTAACTTTTATATATACAGGGTCCACACAAAAGATGTGGCAGACACAACTTTTTTTTTAAATGGAATACCCTGTATATTTTTGGCTAGAATGATAGATTTTTTGCTTCTGATTCCAAATATACCATAAATGTTGATATTTGGTTCAGCTGTTTTTGCGCTATTTAAGTTTTCAATTGCATTCAACATGATGAACTATTAATGGAGCTGAAACAAAAAGACAGCTACATTTTGTAAGATGAAACTAGAGAAGCGAAATTTCACCAATGAAGCCTATCAGATGGAGGAAGAACTAATGAGAAAAACTGACACATATAGTCAGAAAATTAACTTGTTACAACAGGAGCTAACCAGAGTACACAGTGACTTAAGAAATATGGAATCAAGTAAGCCTGAAACTAGCGAACAGACAGATATAGTGATGGAAAGAGAAAAATCCTGTTGAACACAAACAGAGGCAAAACCAGAGGAACCTACGTTAACAGAGGAAGACACTGATCTGTTGTACAAGCTCACTGAAATTTGTAAACTGAAGTTTTCTGTGTAAGATAATGGCTGTAGATAATCTAAAAGGTGAGTGTTAGAATTTAGATTATCTGACAGCTTTCCTGCAATTGTTGTGTAGAAAGTATTGAGTTTGTCAGGCTCAACATCAACAAAACTTTTGGATTTTTCTTTTTTTCCTCTAAATTCGTTAATCAATTTCCAGTATTCTCTGCCTTGTTGATTCGCCTCCAATAGTGGATTTTTTTTTGCCTCAAGTTCTGTACCTATTGAAGTAATGTATGAAAGCCTGAGAGACGGTGAACTTTCTTAGAGTATGCAGATACTTTTTTTTTAAGAGACTGATACCTTTAGTAACCCATATTTTTTTTTTGGCTTTTATTTTTCGCAAAGGAAAGCTCTTATTAAGAATTCTTGTAACACATATATGAAAACTTTGTATTGGATCCTGTGTATTCAAACACTGCCACCAGTTTACACAGTTTGCCAAACTCCTGAAGGTATGAAAGTTTATTTTGCTGTATAGTCTGCATTTTACTAAAGCTTTTTTGGGTACTTCACCAAATAACGTTAATTCTGCCGCCAAGGCTTCATGGTCTTAAAGTTCTGAGGGTATAACTTCACAATTTGAATCCCCAAAATCAAAGTTACCGCACATATAATCAATCGTTGTTTCTGAATGACTGGTGATGCGTGTTGGTTCGTTCGACCTTCCAAAAACATTGCTGAGTTCCCAGATGGAGGCCTGTATACGCATATTATGTAAATATTAAGTTTTCTTACAAAAATCAGTGAAAACTCAAATTTGTTATTTATAATTAAATCATTGTACGTGTCAATGCACTCAATCTATTGTGTCATTGAAAAGCTGTTGTGACAAAGGGTTGCTGTGCCTCCATAACTGTTCGCCCTGCAATATTTGGAAATTATGTTGTAGTCCGGAACGTAGCACAACTCCTCACCAGTCAGCCAGTGTTCCGTTAAAAGGACAAATGTATGGACTGATTGTACATTGAGTAAAAATAAAGTAATTATAATCTGTTTCGTATCTAAAGTCCCATCTTTGCCGTCCTCCACAGAAACACTGTCGTTAACTAAACTAAAAACGTCGAATTTATGTTACTCTCACTGATACCAACATCGAATTTATGTTACTCTCACTGATACCACTTGATTCAAGTAAGTATAAGATCATCAACTCGTTGAGCTATTTTGATTTTTTCAATATTTTTTAAGACTAAAGAATTGTTAAAAATGATGAATGTAGAACTTAGGAAAGAATTTAAATTCAGACATATCCTAGAAACGTTTTCTAGTCTTTCAAATAAATATGTGGTAATTTTTTTTTTCATGAACTTTTAGGAATTTATAGAGATCCACAACTGTACTATCACCTATTATAAGCACTTGGTGCTGTTTGTGAATTTCTGTAGGTGTTGATGCACTTTGTTGGGATCAGATTGTTGGCAGTATGTTGAAAATTGTCAAAGTTTCTTTGACCTCTGCCAGTCCCTTTCCACTTCAAGAACTTCGACCAATGTCCTAAGTTCACTGTTGGCTCCCTTTATCTCATTTGGCATTTCCTGTTCTGTTTCTTGTTGGTTTTCGCAATCTAAAAGCTTTGTTTCAAAGATGGCATTATCATTTTTTAGGTGTTTTATTTGCTCTTCCATTTCAAGCACCGTTCCAACAATGGTTGAAGCTACAATGTCGGTTTGTGTTATAGAGTTTTTGTTCCCAATGTCTGTTTATGTAATATCATCAATCAAGCATCCTGCAGTTGTACTGATTTTCTGAAACTCCACATCATCGTACCGAATTTTTTAAATCTTGTTTCACATATCTGTCTGCCCAGATTTAAAACTCCCTTCCTCATAATTTCAAGGGTCTAAGTGTTTATACTTTTAAAAATAATTTAAAACGCTTTGTGTCGGATAGATCACTCAGTCTTTAATTTTAAATTGGTGCTTACTGCTAATTGCTTTGTGATGCTGGACCTTTTTTTTTGTGATCTTTTTTTTATTATTATTTTCATTTATTGTAACTAATGTTTATCTCTGTTGTTAATTTTAACTTCTAATTTTAAGTATACCAGGTGCCCACGAGATCACTTTCCGGCTGCCATTTTTTTATTTGTCTTTCGATATCAACGAAACTTGGTAGGGTTGATATTCTAACCAAACGCCATAAAAATGGCATTTAATATAAGTTTTTCTGACTTCCGGTTTCACCGGAAATGACCGCAACTTTCGATTTTTAAATGGCACACCCTGTATATTCTTTGTTTTTCGGATTCTACAGATCGTTTTACATCCTAATGCACCACTTTTGAATCGATTCTTATCCAAATTTTGTTTTTAAATTAAATTTTAATTTTTTAACTAGAGTGCCATGATCATCCTAAAACGACTCTAGATACTTTACTTAATTTCAGAAAAATACAAACTCAATTTTATCTTTGTAAATTTTTTTGATAGAGGGCTGTACACTTCATTATTTTAGTATTTTTGCCCTAGCTCAAAAACTAGAATAGAAACATATCACTTTCATAACATTACTAAATGCAGTATTTTGAAGCGAATCCAACGACATAATACACCACGACATTTTTCTTAATTTTCATTCAAATATTTTTGTTTTATTATGTAGGTAATTTTTTTTTCCACTTGAAAGGACATGGCACTAAATATTAGAATCCTGGTGATCGGCCAATTTTTTTAAAACTGCAGTATGTTATTCTATACCTGAAAACAAGCATTTCTGCTTATGGTCACTTTTTTGTACGAGTATGGGATGACCCAGAAAATTGAGTTCAAAGTTTGAAATGAAATATTTTCTTTAAGCATAAACTTATGTTAAGCCGTTGTTAAACTAATCTGTTATGTGATTTTGCATTTTATACATTAAAGACAAAGCTATTTATGTAGTTAAGGACAAAAATTATTATACAGGGTGTCTCAAAAATTATATTTTAAACCAAACTACTCTCTAAAGAAAGCCAATAACCAAAACAACTGCTACAAAACTATAATAACCTTAAATATCAATAATAACTACAAACATTGTAACAATGATCACCAGAGACTATTTGAAGTAGCTGCTGTTCCCTGGAAACGATTTGGATTTAATACTGTAGAAATAGATCAACAAATACAAAAATATGCCATATAGGCCCAGTTTCACAATTGGTGGTAACCTGCACTGGCTATCGGACTCATATTTGCGGGTTGACTACATGGAATATTCTGAAGCTTGACCAAAGGTTTTGGCTAAACCACACATCATGAAACAGATATATTGTAGGTTACCAGTGTCTTGTATTTACCGTTAAGTTACAAATGTTTGTGAAACTGGCCCTAACTGTGTTGTTAATACAACAGATCAATACATATTCAAAATCACTAAACCGATACATCAAATATTTAATATAAAAACTTTGAACTCAATTTTTTTAACCGTTATTTTGGTTATTGGCTTTCTTTAGAGTGTAGTTTGGTTTAAAATAAAATTGTTGAGACACCCTGTATAATAATTTTTGTTCTTAACTATACAAATATCTTTGTCTTTAATGTATAAGTTGCAAAAATACATAACAGATAGATAGTTTATGCTTCAAACCAAATCTTCCATATAAAAACTTTGGACTTAATTTTCTGGGACATCCCATACTCGTACAAAGAAGTGACCATAAGCAAAAATGCTTGTTTTCAGGTATAGAATAACATACTGCAGTTTTTAAAAAATCGACCGATCACGAGGATTCTAATATTTAGTGCCATGTCCTTTCATTTGAAAGCGAAATTGAGACAAAACTCGATTTAAAAGTGGTACATTAGGACGTTAAACGATCTGTAGAATCCAAAAAACAAAAAATATACAGGGTGTGTCATTTGAAAATCAAAAGTTTCGGTAATTTCCGGTGAAACCGGAAGTCAGGAAAACTTGTCATAAATGCATGAAAATGGCGATTCGTTAGAATATCAAGCCTAGCAAGTTTCATTGATATCGAAGAACAAATAGAAAAATGGTAGCCGGAAAGTAATCTCGTGGGCACCCGGTATGTTTAAGATTTTATTATTATATTTATTTTTTTATTTTTTATTTTATTATATTTTATTATTACTCTATGGCCCTGGAATTATTTTTGTATACTTTTTTTCCCCTTTTACAGCTTTGTCAACGATAATTTTGTTCTTAGACAATAAAGCATTTTTTGACTTTGACATTTTTTGACTTTATAGCAAAGGGGGGTCATTAAAATACGCCTGGCGGTACTTTCCACCTTTGTATGGTAATTTTTGACATGCAATAAAGATTATTTTTTTTACTACTAACCTGAGAAATAGTCATTATTCAATCTATTTTTTTAGGAAAAAATTGAATTTCTCTCCCTAGGTTAATAATGAAAATAATGAAAAAATACCTAGGTCAATAATGAAAATGACGTCATGATGCAAGGATATTGTCATGTTTCTATTGGTCCAATTTCAATTTCATATGTCAATTCAAAAAAAATACAGGTTTCTGTAGGTACATATAGGAAGTTATCATAAGCTGTTGTTAGAGGGCAGCACTTTCAAAAGGGCGTTCAAAAAAATAATTAAGAGCACAGATTTTGAATATTTTTTTTATTTTCTACTAGTAGTAGTAAAAAAAATTCTATATATTCCTCGGTAGAGAAAGTCATTATATACCTTACACATTATAAAATCATCATAAAAGCGCTCGGTATTATATAATGACCAACTTCTCTACCTAGGTATATAATATACTATTATTTTATTTATTTTTTATTTTATTCTACCTAGGTTGGGTTTCTGGTTTGGTTTTTAAATCCTTTATTTTTGATTTCTTTTCCCGAATCATAGTCTAACGCGCTTCTAGTTAAGCAATTTTTTTTCTTGTAATTGTATTCTCTTTAGATCCACTTTCCTTGTTTTCTGCATTATGCCCAAATGATGTTGTGCACTCCTCAGAGAAATAGCGTACTTTCCGAGATATTTATTCCAGAAACCTAACTTCTGAAGCACCCCAACCTCCACAACTCCTGCAGGTGATCATGTGACAGTTGCCTCATCCGCATCCAAAAACATCATCACTATTTTTTGCGGGTTCCCGAAAGACGCAATCTGTGCCGCATTTTAAACATTTTGGGGCATATTGATTGATTTTGATCTTACATAATTGAACAATTCTCCAATATTCTTTGTTAGTTCAAAAATGAATAATTTTTTGTTGTGCTGGCTCTTGGAATTTATTATTCTTATCGATTTTATGCGGTCATAAAGATAAGGAATAAAAGCTTTTAAATATTTTAGATACCATTAAATTACATTATTTTTTTATTACTAGGAAGTAGGAACATGGCAAACTGCTAATTTTACCCATTCAGACCACCAAACACGCGAGTTTGATACTTAAAAAAAAGAGAAAAACAAAAACGCTACACTGTGGTACCACTTTCACTTAAATTAATATGTAAAGTGCGTTTTTTTTTTTAAAGATAATTCCCCAAGTCAAAAATTTAGTAACTATGTTGGCAACACAAGCCTTTTCTACATGAAAAATTTGAAAGCATTGACAATTTTACATTGTATTGCAAACATAATGTCAGTTTGACTTTTATCTAAAAAAAAAAAATGCACTTTATGAGGCAAGTAAAAAATAAGAAAAACGCCAAACATTGACAAACACGTCTTGATACTACACATCTTAGATACAAAAGTAAAAATCAAAAGGAATTTTTCTCAAGATAACTACTAGTAGTAAGGTTTGTAGAGAATTTAATTGGCTTTAATTAGAGCTTATTTACATTGAAATCGGATGAAAATTAATGGAGCTGCGAGACGAAAACTGTCTCAGTGTAATTTTTGCAAAATTTTCAATATTCGATAAATTCAATTGTGAAGCATCTTAGATGCAGAACTATTAAAACCAAATTGAAATCTCAATTAATAGGTTTCGAGAGAATTTAATTGGCTTTAATTAGAGCCTACCTACATTGGAATCGGAAGAAAATTAACGGAGCTGTGAGCCACAAACTGTCTAAATGTGATTTTTGGCAAATTTTCAATGGTCGATAAGTTGAATTTTAAAGCTTCTTAAGTACAAAACTGTTTAAACCGAGGTTAAAACCAAATTAAAATCTTAATTAATTGGTTCGTAGAAAATTTAATTGGCTTTAATTAGAGCATAATTACATTGAAATCTGGATGCAAATTAACAGAGCTGTGAGGCAAAAACTATCTCAGGGTAATTTTTGGACAATTTCCAATGTTCGATACATTCAAATTTGAAGCTTCTTAGGTGCAAAACTGTTGAAACCAAATCAAAATCTTGATAGATAAGTTGGTAGAGAATTTAATTGGCTTTAATAAGAGCCTAATTGCGTTGAAATCAGATGAAAATTAAAGGAGCTGTGAGCCAAAAACTGTCTCAGTGTCATTTTTGGACAATTTTCAATGTTTGATAAATTCAATTTGGAACCTTCTCAGGTTGAAAACTATTGAAACAAATATTTACAATTTTGTCCACACAAAAACCCTACAAAAAAGCAATAGCTATCACAATAGCCCGTGAAAACTCAAAAACCCAATGGAAATTTTCAAAAACCCAGGGTTTTGTCAACCCTGAAAACTACACCATTTAGGCTTCAGAAATAATTATTTAATATTACAGATTACAGGGTGATGTTTATTATAGATCACCTTGTACTGTCATAAAATAACACAGATACCATTTTTAAACCCATATGTTGTATGTATTGATTTATCCCTGTATGCCCAGTGACTGGAATATTCATTTTACCTTGAGGAAATATTCACAAAATAATTAAAAATTCAACATATTGGTCGATGAAAAATTTGCATTCTGCTAATGACATTCACAATTACCAAACAACCAAATAAAATAATTTCAAAAAATTAAAATTAATCACTTGCAAAAAAGATCAATCATTCATAATGAAAATTAATATTGTAATTTTTTGCTGTAGATACTGGGCCATGAAAAAGTCTCATAAACATTTTATGGGAATTTTTATCACATTATGCAATTTCCCTCAGTTAAAAATAGCCAGTATTCAACTTAAATTTCCCAATAGCACATTATCCCAAAACAGTTTCTTGCTGCAGCCAAAGCTAGTGGCAGTATTTTTAACTGAAAAGCGTTTCGAACCAATCAGAAGTGCCTACTAGACTAGTTGATTGAAACAGACCTTCCCTTGTCAAAATCAATATTTGCCAATTTATGTCAAACAAAAAAAAAACAAACATAGAAAAGTAGCAGAAAATAAAACCTAGAGAAAAAAAATGGACTGGGCAGTTGGAGGAATAGACATGTCAATGACGAAATATGCTGGAACTGAGTGCATGGAATATTTAAATCCTACATGGAAAATTATTGAAACCATATTAATTCTAGTGACTTGCATGTATTCAATTTACTGGAGCTACCCTCAAGTTAGTTTATCTTATTGAAATTGGTTTTTGTTTAGACATAAAATTGTTGTAGTGCACGCTCCCAAACCGACCTTACAAGGAAAAAGTCAGTAGTGGTAAAAAAAAATTATTAGCACTCATCTGCCTTTGCTTTGGAATGGAAATCGCCTTCAAATCAGCAACAAAAACAGGAATATACCTACTCAACCCCTGTCACATTATTACAGTGATGCAAATTTACTTATTAACAGCTGCACCCAGTAAAACAGTCACTACAGTGTTCAGAATGCATTTGAATTACTTAAATGGACCAATATTGGCACTAGTGTTTTATGAAACTGAAACTAGATTGGTGAGTAAGTTGAAAAACAAAAAGGGTACTTATTATTGCTTTTTAGTTGCCACTTGAAGCTGCAGTATATTGGATACAACATTTATTAATACTTGTAGTACCCTATTATCTTCTACGAATTGGAGGTAAAATAAGTCAATATTATTTTGAATAAAGTTTTACATTAATAATTTTTTTCAGGTGTTTACAATACAGAAAACGCAAAAGAAGTACATTGGAACGTAATGGCCTATAGTGTCTTCATTATTTATAATTTTACAATCCTTCAAGCAGTATCCGCTGCCACTAATGTCAACCTGAACCATGCTATGTGTCCAATAGAAGCAGACCCTTTTAGAAGCCAATTGTACAGAACGGCAACTTTTCTCCACCAAGCCCTAATCGGTCCAATAGTGGGCAAAACCTATGTTTACATTACAGACTACTTTTTGACAAAATTCAAATATACAAGAGTCAAAGTGATACTAAATGAATATGATAACTATAAAATAAGCCATAGTGAATAAAAGTTGCTAATCAATAAATAAATAAATAAAATTATAATAAATATACTTCTTACCACTCCAGAACTATTATTAATACAATTCATATTGATCCTAGAAATAAATTTAGCCAAGGGCGCTTCATCTGGGTAACGGTCACCGCATTCAATTTTAACAGAATACATTCGATTCTCGTAGGGACTGCGAGGGGGCCCAATGATCATGCCCATCCAGTGGGTGAGAGTCATGTCATCGTCATTTTCCAGGCCCCAGCTGATGGTACCGTCTGAGACGCCTTTTTGGCCCGCCTCTAGTTCTTCAAGAAGTCTGAAGTTTCTGGGAACAACTGATAAAAACATTAATGAAAATTTGGCCAATATAACAACTTTTACTGAGAAATAAACTAAAGAAATATGTGCTTCTTATAAGCTTTCTGATTGGTTCTATATTGAGCTCAATAAAGGCACCGTATTCAAATTATTACAAAAGCTAACTTTAGACAGTCTGAAAAAATGCCTAGGGTAAAAAAGATATTCATGGCTGAGGTGTGTGTCTATGAGTGTCAATTTTTCTAAAGTTTTAACTGGGATCGATCATGCCTGAATTTTAATTGCAATATAAATACTGAAAAATGTGTTTTTAGATTTTTCAGTTTGATGCATACTAGGTACATATCTAAATTCCAAAGTGGCTCAAAATAACGTAATCTGGTTTTATAAAAATAATAATACTTTTTATCAATTCAATACTCGATTTGATATATCTTATCTACATTTTGCAGTTGATTGTGTCGGCACTCAACCGAATCTTGATTGTAATTATTGTAGAAAAGATAAACTAAAAACTTTGATACCCATGGTAAAAGCAAAGCTAGAAAGGGTGCATAAAATGTTAAAACAAATTTTAGAATTTATGTTTTAAAACAATGAAAAATGTGAATTAAAATGTGGATACTTACCCACACCAGCTGACTGAGTAGCCATGTTTCAACGCTTCCCTTTATGCCCTTTTTCTTTGAATCCGAATGTCCAATTAACACTGCGGTTATCACTTTTCTTTCGAATAATCCGATTAATTAAAAATTGAAATAATTATCGACGCAGTTTTCCATAAAACTTGATAATGATGAGCAAGACAAAATTAAAGAATTTCAAGAAAAAACTAGCTGACCTCCTGTCCTGTCAATAAGTGACACGACAAAACTCTTAACTGTCAAATTGATTTCGATTTGACAAAAGACGTATTTGTCTCGTATCTACTAGACCCTGCTCTAAATAGTCCAAAATGATCTTGGAGTCATTCGAAGTGCTCCCAAAAAGAACGCCTTTTTAAATCCAAGTACTCCATGATTGGCATTCACTTGGACTACAAGGATATTACACATTACTACAGGATTGCTAATCGGCTCCGATTTTTGGAATCAAGCAAGGTCATATGGTGTTGCACCGTTGTTGGCGTCATCAACGGTGTCCTTAAGGCGCATCCCCAATCAATCTGGTAGCGAAGTGGCACTTCGGCACGCATGCTAGGACAATGTTGTTTAACGTTAGCATCCTCAATTCAATTCCGTGCTAGCATGCACGCCGACTCCGAAGTGCAAGCTTGCAAGCTGCAAGCTTTTTCGATGCGTGACAACTTCTGTCATGCACAGTACATTAAATTACCATTACAAAAATTGACAGCATTGGGGATGGGTATCAATTTTCCAGCACGAATGCCGAAGTGCCACTTCGCTACAGATTGATTGAGGATGAAGCTTTAGCTGTTTGCGACAGCGATCGTAGCGTAGTTTATACATTTATGATGAAAAAACATATTTAATTTTGCTTAACATAATAGATACAGGGGAAAATGCGAACGTGATCTCAAAAAGGGTCGCTATAATGCAAATTCCGGGGATTCATAGCCTGTGGCCTGTGGTACAAAACACCCTACATCAAGGCGAGAAACGACACGCTGCCTACGTCATCGCTGGACTTTGGGGTGGTGGGGTGAGGCTATTCTGTGGTGTAGTGTGCAATATTCTTGAGTTTGCGTCGTAACCAGTTCAACTCTGCTATAGAACAATTTAATATATTCTGACACAAACGAACGCGGAGTACTTTATTATATGATTTTCAATTTGTGAGGAAGATTATTATTATTTATATTCCGAAATCGAATTCGGTTTATCAAGTGATGAAGATAGTGCAGAGGACTGTGACCAATGACATCTTAACACAGATAGACACCGCATCGGCGCATCTCATTCATAAAATGTTTTTTGTGGACGAGTGCAACTCGTTTATATATCTATCTGCCTCTAACTCATATGATGATAAGTTCGATCGATGCGTTCACATAGTGGTTCACTTGCCAATCGATTGCAGCCAGCGTATGTTAAGGGCCCCATACACTACGATGAAACACGACGGTTTTCAGCGCCGCGATGAAACACGTTGTTCCAAAACCGAAGTGTGTGGTAGTGGTAGATAAACACGACGGTTTTCTAAACACACACTTCGGTTTTGGAACGACGTGTTTCATCGCGGCGATGAAAACCGTCGTGTTTCATCGTAGTGTGTGGGGCCCTTTACGCCTTTCACAAACCGGCGTTTCCAGTTATTGTTTAGTCTTGAAGCTCCAACTTTTTGAAGCAAAGTCATAACAGGATGAAATATCAATCCCTAACAATTTGGCAGCCAAATTGAAGGGGATACACCGGTGGTAGATTGCTCTCCTAGATGTTGGCGACACATAAGTTCTTTTCACGTGGCTCCGGTTTAACTAACCGGGTTACTAAACGGTTAGAGAAATGACATACCGTTTTCTAACCTGGGGGCGGATTACGAACTCTCGATTCGAACCGAAACCGCCATGGATTTCGAACGCACTCCATGCGAATGCATCAGAATGCGTTCGAAATCCATGGCGGTTTCGGTTCGAATCGAGAGTTCGTAATCCGCCCCCTGGTTACAAAGTGACGTGATGGATACCTACCACTCGAATTTGAGCGGTATGTTGCGGTTTGTTAAACCGGAGCCACGTGAAAAGGGTTATAGATTTTGAACGCTGGCTAGAAGCTGGTTCCATGCCACTGATCTCAAAAATATAATGGTTACACAAAGATCGCTTCTATGCTGCTAATTTACGAGGTCATAATAGTTGGGGAGCTGGCGTCAAAAACATGCAAGAGTTTTCGCAAGGCGGATATTTTCAAAATAGGTCGTACTTTAGTGCTAGAATGCTAGTGTACAGTCAGCACTCACAGTTCCGGGACAGCTGGCTCTGGGACGCGGGCAAAGTTGTAATTTTAAGAAGCATCTAAACTGTTTTCTCAAAGCTCAAAATTTATAGAAATTTTGCACATTATCTGTTTGAAAGTAACAGATAACGTATGTAAATCGTCAGACGCAAAAAGGGGGTCAGACGTCCTCAATGTTTTTATTTTATGGCATTTTCTTCGGTGTCCTGTCAAAATATATTTTTGCAGGTATTTGACAAATATATTTGAAGAAAATGCCATAAAATAAAAACTTTGAGGACGTCTGACCCCCTTTTTGCAACGAACTAGACGTCTGACGATTTACATATGTTATCTGTGACCTTCAAACAGATAATGTGCAAAATTTCTATAAATTTTGAGCTTTGAGAAAACAGTTTAGATGCTTCTTAAAATTACAACTTTGCCCGCGTCCCAGAGCCAGCTGTCCCGGAACTGTGAGTGCTGACTGTACACTAGCATTCTAGCACTAAAGTACGACCTATTTTGAAAATATCCGCCTTGCGAAAACTCTTGCATGTTTTTGACGCCACCTCCTGGACTATAATGTAAACAACTGGGATAGCTGTGAGCGTGCGCAGTAAATACATGTATTGTCATGTATTGTGCAGTCGTAAAATGTAGCCAATGAAAATGAAGGATATTTCAAAATTTAGAACAGTTGTTCGAAAGTAAGTGCGCGGTGAGCGTTGCACGATGCCGCTGTAACGATGCCCAAAAATAATGTTAACACTATATTTCACATGAACATGTTAACACCGCGCGACACGCCGCCTCAGTGTGAACTTGTTCATTTGAAATATAATGTTAAAATTATTTTTGGGCATCACTATAGCGGCATCGCGCAACGCTCACCGCTCGAGCGGTGTCAATGTGAACGCGCACTAAGACACTGCGCAGGCGAGGTGCGATTTCGGTGACGCGGCTGGCTGCGGCGGCTAGCAGCTGCGTCTCCAGCCGCTGCACTGGTTTGTACAGTTTCAAATGGAACCAATTTGGCTTGCGCAGCGCGACTAAAGCGGCGGCAGCCCGCGCTGCAGCGGCTGCTGTTCGACTGCTCGCGAAGCAGTCGAGCAGCTGAATTCGTAGTGACTAGGGCGAAAAATGGTGCCATTTACGTCAAATGACGATGAAATTTTAATCAACGAAATACAAAAATATCCCGTAATTTATGATTATGAAGACAAAAATTACAAAAATTTTGTTATTAAAGAAAATTGTTGGAAAAAGGTCGCTAAAGAATTAAAAAAAGAAGGTTAGTATTATTCTTCTTCATCTTCCTCTTCTTCTAATAAAATTAATGTTATCAAATCGTCGTAATCCATATTTTTTAATAAACCCCGCAGAAATTTAAAATGACAAAAATGCTACAGTCCGCAGTCAACGGCTGCCTAGGACTGCGTCACCGAAAACATCTTTTCATCGCGGCTACAGCTGCCGCGGCCAGCATCTCTAGTCGCGCAGCTCGAGCAGCACCACCGAAATCGCACCTTAGGCTGTTCCGTTGCACAACCGTTCGTAGAATATTGACCCCCAATTTTCGCACAAGTTTAGCCAATCAAGCCGTACGATTGTTTATCCATTTATTTTTGAGATCAATAACTCTTTTCACGTGGCTCCGGTTTAACAAACCGCAACATACCGCTCAAATTCGTGTGGTAGGTATCCACCACGTCACTTTGTAACCGGGTTAGAAAACGGTATGTCATTTCTCTAACCGTTTTGTAACCCGGTTAGTTAAACCGGAGCCACGTGAAAAGAACTAATGGTCCATGCTTCCGGCGAAATACGTTTGATATGACGTCATGAGTTTCTCGCGAAAGCGTTTGTATTCATGAAATCATGAAAGTAGTTCGTCGCGAAAATTCGGTTTATGTCATTGACTGTGACTAGGCAGCCACTTTTTCATTCAAAGCCATAATGGAGGGAACCAAAGGTTCCTAAAGTTAATAAGTTGTCTGGTAATGCTAAACAGATGACGCCATCAGGACGATCTTATGGAAATTTGCATTATGTTTAGTAGTCTGTATGACGTCTTGAAAGTTATCAGGCAACCTAACCTAACTCTTTCAAACAACCTTGGGAGGGAACAGGTAACCGTAAACGTAAAACTACATCCTAACCTCAATCAATCTAGTAGTAAAGTGGCACTTCTACAAGCGTGCTGAGAAATTGATAGTTGATACCCATCCTCAATGCTGAATTTTATTTTATTAGGGAGAATTCTCATGAGCGTAAGTTGACATTTCTGGCGTAATCACGTGATAAAATGGTTGGGTTTTATTGGAAAAATATTTGACTCCTTTACCAATCAAATTACACCATATTATCACGTGATTACGCCAGAAATGTCAACTTACGCTCATGAGAATTCGTCCTATTTTTCACCGTACTGCGGATGACACAAGTCGGCATGCATCGAAAAAGCTTGCAGCTTGCAAGCTTGCACTTCGCAGTCGGTGTGCATGCTAGCACGGAATTAATTTGAGGATGCCAACGTTAAACAACATTGTCCTAGCCTGCGTGCCAAAGTACCACTTCGCTACCAGATTGATTGAGGATGGGCCTTCGATGTGGCTTATTTTTTGATATTTAATTTTAGGCTGCCCTATCTTACTCTTCTTCGAAAGCAAGTGCAGGTTGAACATGAGCTAAACAGTTTAGAACAAACTGCACGCCACAAACGAACGCTCAACTGATCATTGCCATAAGTGCTGCTCCGAACAACACAAAAAACAAATGGCTTTAGGGGCGCGTTCAGATTGAACAGGCGAAGTCCGGTGCCGAGCGTTACCCGATAGAAGAGAATGCTCTCCGAGTGTGCCCGTGCATTCGCTCAATGTGACCCGTCAAAATTCGACGCAACTCGTAGTGATGATACTTGTGCGATAGTGATGACGTTACCTGCAGATCTCGATGGCCTGCTTGCGATTCAAGCTGTGCTTGTGAGTCGACTTCAAATGTAGAAAAGGTTATTACGTTTAGGAGTTCGTTTTCTTGACCTATAGTGTATAATGCATTTTGCGTCAACAGTTGAGGTCTGCTGCTGACGTCACAATTATTGGGCACTTGTAGCGTGGACATGGCAGACACTTTTGGGCTCGGATTCCGAACCCACGATTTGAAAGGTATCGTCTATCGTCAGGTACTTTTGCACGAGTTCATTTGGCTTTATATGGTGCACTCATTGCGATGTCTCGTCACTCCGTGATCGCTCTGCCCGTTCCGCTGAGCATCAACCCAAACGCAGCCACAAGGAGTACACCAGTGTCAAGCCAAAACCCAATAAACTCTTGTAATAAATAAATTTCTAAAAGTTTCTAAAGTTCTAAAATAAAATAAATAAAGTTATAAAGCTCTAAAGTTTATATAGCAACAAATTAATAGTTTCCATTTTTAATTACATAAAACTTCAATTTTTTTATCAGATGAGGTAAGGATGAAACAAATAGGGTCACTGGATTCCGAGTAAAAGTTCAAGTTCTTCCAAACAAACATCAAAAACATGAACACTGCAATTAAAGTTATCCATGTGGTCCTTTGCTTTCCATTGCAAAATCAGGAGTGCGTTCGAAATCACCCTGGGGGTCACACCGAGTGCACACCAGCTATGAATTATTCATGGCTGGTGTGCACTCGGTGTGATGCCCAGGGTGATTTCGAACGCACTCCAGGGCAACGATTTATGCTCTGAGTGCAGTTTTATCGACACAACTGCATCTTATGGCGGAAAATAACGTTTGTTCCATTTAAAATTTATTCCTTTGACCTTTCAAGGGTTTAGAACACTAGATCTACCCGCGCTGGTATTAGGCGACCCCGAATTTAAAGTAACAGATGCGCTGGCTTCCATGCATTAAATGGTTTGAGTTCGGGCTTGAGGACTCTGGTGAAACAATACCTTTGAAAGGAATAACCGCGTAACGCCCCGGAGGTGTTCCGGAGCTCCTCCTAGGTGTGAAAGGAATACATCTATTGAGTACCATACCAGTGCGAGTTCAATCTGAGTGGAACAGTGGTTTCTGGCAATTTTGACACTAATCCGACTCTGAGTCTGCGTGTAACCTGCCACCTCTCACTCTACTTCACTCTGCCACCTCTCACTCCACGCCACTGCTCGGACAGAAATTTCAAATTTCCTCGGAGGAAATTTGAAATTTCTCCAGTCGGCGTTGTCAGATCTACTGTTTTAGTAGTAGATCTACTGTTTTCACTTTTCACCCTTGATCTGCTGTTCTACTGTTTCAACTTCTAAAACTACTGTTTTTAGGAGAATACAAAATTGTACAATTAATTTTGGACGAGTCTTTTGGGCAATAATTTTTAATTTTGTTTGCCGACTTCGTGCACTTCGAATACACGCAGTTAGCCAGGCAAACCTGCTCTAACCCAGTCCTAGAAATTGCTCCTAACTCCAAGGTTATGCGACCAGCAGTAGTGAAGCCGAAAATGCCACAAGTTCTGAGTTGGAGTGGCCTGGATTCCGAACTCACGATTCGATAGTATCGTCTATCTATTTTATATCGATGATACAATACCTAGTCCTTTTCACGTGGTCCGGTTTAAACTAACCGGGTTACAAAATGGTTAGTAGCGGTATCAAGTATGACATACCGTTTTCTAACCCGGTTACAAAGTAAAGTGATCGATACCACTCGAATTTAAGCGGTATGTTGCGGTTTGTTAAACCGGAGTCACGTGAAAAAGGTTTAACGAATCGTGGGGCGCGTTTGGGTTCACGCTCTGTGCACTCAGAGCTTCCACTTTTGTCTCTTTTCCGTTATTTTTGAAGCTCCGACAACGCTTGATTGTGTTTGGTTTGACATATTTTGAGCGCTCAGAGCGAACTCGATAAACTCTGAATTTGTGGAGTGGGGAGATGCAGCGCGCATGCGCAGATTAGATGTGTTCAATCTGTCTGTATAACCTAACCTATTTTCCATGATAACATTGATAAGATAAATAAACAATCCTGAATTTTATATTGGTTAGCTGGATAGTTTTTTTACCTATTTTGTTTAAATATTAACAATCAAATAGCTGGTAAATTCTGCATAATTGTTTACTTTTAATTAAATTTTCTCGGTACTCCTCATCACTGGTATTAGTAAACATATTTTTCCAAGGGAACTTGGCCACCTCAGAGTGTTTAGGTCCATTTTATTGTGTATGTAACACGACATTTTTAGCAGAACACAAAAGAAAATGGGGCTGTTTGAAAATTATCGACGATAATAAAAAACAAACGAGAAAACTCTGCTGCAAATGCGGAATGCGGGTTCAGACTCCAAAAAATATATCCTAAAAAAAAATAAACGATAATCAGCTAGCTGATCACTCAACCCAGCACTTTTGCACGAGTTTATTTGGCTTGACACGGTGTACTCCCCGTGATGTCACGTTACTCCGTAATCGCTCTGCTTGCTCCGCCGAGAGTCAACCCAAACACGCCCGTGGGTTCGGAATCCTCTAACCCTTTTTACGTGGCTCCGGTTCAACAAACCGCAACATACCCCCGCTCAAATTCGAGTGGTGGTATCCATCACATCATTGATCACATCACTTTGTAACCGGGTTAAAAAACGGTAATATGTCATTTCTCTAACCGTTTTGTAACCCGGTTATTTTAAACCGGAGCCACGTAAAAAGAACTTCTGGCTCTACTCCAAGTCAGGGGTGCGTTCGAAATCACCCTGGGCGTCACACCGAGTGCACACCAGCTATGAATTATTCATGGCTGGTGTGCACTCGGTGTGACGCCCAGGGTGATTTCGAACGCACTCCAGAGCTTATGGCATTTTTGGCTTCACTACAGCTCCTAGAGCGCTCACCGTCTGAGCGGTGACGTCACAGATCTCTGCAGGAGTGCTCAGAGAGCGATTATAATCCAAACGAGAGAGGGCACACAATGAAATCACTAGCAAAAGTACTTAAGCCAATTTTAAGCGATTGACCAGTTGGTCCAAGGATAATACACACCTACAAGGATTGCTTATCAACCTCGTGTTTGGTAATCGCCGCTATATTGGTGTGTTACCATTTCCGACGTCATAACTTAGTCGTCAGCTGTTTTAAACAGCCCACATCAAAGCGAGAAATAACATGCTGCCCACGTCACAACTGGTAATTTGGCTGTAAATTTGCCAATTTTAAATATATTCGACCAATAGAAAAAAAATCCGCAATTCGCGGTTATGAGTACTATAGGCTTAAAATTGGGTTTAAACTCGATCCATCGAATTTGAAGGAGAAAGAAACAGCGCTCCCTGCAAAATTTGAGAGCGTTCTATCGTTCTAGTCGAACACGTGAATCTTGTTTAGAGCAGGCTCCGTTCTACGCCGAACATATGAATGCGTTGGGTTAGATTTTTTCAAAGAATCTATCTGGCAACACTGTAAGTTCCATGCATAAGATAGTGGATTGCTAAGATGGATTCAAACGATTCGATTCAAACAAATGAAACTAAAATCTAATTATTTTGTATCAAAAAATTTATACGTCATAATACGGAATTCAATTATTAAATTATTAAAATGAACAACCCCGAAGAAGCAATCTTAGTCAAAACCACAGACACGAAATTTTTAAAAGAAAAAGTAACCGGCTACGAATGGTCCGAAGGCCTAGATTATGATAAACTCCTGAAAAGTTACTTGCACACAGGATTCCAAGCTACAAATTTCGGGCTGGCTGTGGACGAAATTAATAAAATGCTAGAGTGCCGCAAACTGCATATTCCTGAAGATAAGTACATAGATAGAGATGATCAGTTTACAGTAGTCAGGAACAGCTGTACAATCTTTCTGGGGTATACTTCCAATTTGGTTTCTAGCGGATTGAGGGAGACTATTAGATTTTTAGTGCAGAATAAGATGGTAAGAATAAGCCCTTGTTTTACAAACTTTCACTGTGAGATTGAAACATCCAGTTTAGCCTCTTAATTTACATTAAACACTATTTAACTACAACCTTTAACAGGTGCTTTTCAGGTAGACTGCATTGTAACAACAGCAGGAGGAATAGAAGAAGACTTTATAAAATGCCTCAGCCCCACTTTTCTAGGAGATTTCAATTTAGATGGAAAACTATTAAGAGAAAAAGGCATTAATCGTATAGGCAATCTTCTAGTACCAAACGACAACTATTGTGCGTTTGAAAACTGGATAATTCCAATTTTTGATAAAATGCTCCAGGAGCAAAAAGATAAGCGTCTGTTATGGACACCCAGTAGAATGATTAGTCGGTTGGGAGAGGAAATTGCTAATGAAGAAAGTATTTATTATTGGGCCAATAGAAATCAGATTCCTGTGTTTTGTCCAGCTTTAACTGATGGCAGTATTGGAGATATGATGTTTATGCATTCACTTAGAAATCCAGGATTGGTACTGGACATAATAGAAGGTAAAGGTTTTAAAATTATGAGTCTTACAATAGCCTAAAGACTTTTGGAAAATTTAAGAAATTCTTCTTTGGAGTGGAATAGTTTACAGTGTAAAATTCTTGTTCCAGATTTAAAAAGACTCAATTTAATGGCAATGAGAGCAATAAACAGTGGCGTCATTATACTAGGAGGGGGTGTTATAAAACATCACATCTGTAACGCTAATTTAATGGTCAGTATTCAAAAAAGTAAGAGCATGCTAAATTCAACATTTCTCTTTTTCTAGAGAAATGGTGCAGACTTTGCAGTCTACTTGAACACTGGCTTGGAATATGATGGAAGTGACTCGGGAGCTAGACCTGATGAAGCAGTTTCATGGGGAAAAATTAGAAAAGACGCAAGACCAGTTAAAATTCACGCTGAAGCTACACTCATGTTTCCATTGTTAGTGGCTCAGACTTTTGCTAAGCAAGTTTATACTTCTTGTAGTGGTGATGTGGAGAAAAAATAAATATATAGAAAAATCTGCTATTTTCATTTGGTTTCGTAAGAAGAATTCCAAAAAGGTTTTATAATAAAGAAAAATAAATAAATATATTAATATATTTAATTTGCATAAATAAAAATAACATAAATATAATATAAAGAGCGCGATTTAAACAAAATATAATGTGCGTTTTCAAACTACAATTCTTCGTTCTGATGCCGATAAATTTACAACATAATAATTAGTAAACTGTCAATTATTTGTAAAATCTAATAATCATATAATAGCTATTTACAATATGTATAATGATCTTCATAGTACTTATAATAATAAACTGTTTCTAAACTAAACAGTCCCTATAAGAAGCTCTGGCAAAATTCTATTATTGTTGATGAAGACTGTACTGTTAGAAGCTCGGTTAGAAGACAAAACTGATCAAATTAACTTATTTTATCATCTCAATATATATATATATAACTCATAAAAAGGTCTATAGAAATAAAGTTCAAACTATGCTTGATGTATAGTCAATAATTGAATTTGCACAGAAAAAAAAACAAACAAAATAAAACAAGGCATTTTAGAATAATAATATTATCACAAAAATAAAGAAAAATATTGAATTTTCAATGTTAAATTCAGTCTAACGCGAATTGAGTACTTTAAAATTAAATACATGGCAACTAAAAAGAAACTTTGCCTCTGTAATGTATATTTTTTTGAATCCTTAAATTTAAACTGCATGTGTTACCCATCTAATTCATGTTGTGGCCAATCGTGATTTTCAAATTTTTTACAATTATCTATAACTATTTCTGCCAATTGTTTGTTAGCTAATGGCGGATCCTTGTGAGCAATGAGCTCTTTCAACAGGTCCAAACCGCCTTCTTTTTCTACTAGATGACAGTATTTTTCAGCTAGAAAAGATACTTTGACTCAAAATTCTAACTCAAAGTAAATATACTCACGGTAAACTTTGGTTAGATTAGCCAAGGCCCAAACGGCCCATCGTTGACATTCAGGTGTATGGTAAATTTTGACCAAATAGAGTATCGGTTCAAAAGATCTATAGTTTATGTTTCTTTGTGAACTCAGATCCCAACTGCAATCAACAATTTTTTGTCTATTTTTGCAACATTTTTGTTCGAGTAAGTTTACCTTTCAATAGCTGAAATCATTCTATCAAGCACCTGTTGTCGCAGTGGTATTTCTACAGTCCAAACGTCAGGACCATCTGAAGCTAAGATAAATATTTATAGTACATACTTATGAAGCAGTTTTTAGGAAAAAAATAACAAATTCAAGTTCCTGAGGCTCTTGGCTTTATGAATTATTATCTAAATATTTTCAGAAGCAATACTCGAATGCTAGTGTTAATCATGACACAAAACTACGTTGCAAGGAATAAGTACTTCAATGCAGTCAAAATCGTTTAGTGAAGTGTCACTTTACTCTATAAAGACATTAAAATGCATTGGCCACTAGGGCAATATGCTATTTTTCAACTCTGTTCTGTAAAATTTCAAAGAAGAAAAACTCTTACCAATATGTGAAATGACTCCAGCAGCATTATAACTAACTTCAATGCCGTCACAGTTAGAATTCAATAAATTAGAAAATACAGAAAGATATTCGGGAGTGATTAAGTAATGACGCAACTCCTTGACTTCTGCTACATTTCCAAGTAGTCCCATCATGTTTCTCAGCAGGTCCTCTTTTTCAGGAAAACTCTAATAATTGTTTAAGTTCAAGTTTAAAGAACCGCAAAAGATTCACGTTTTTACCTGTAAACAAGACAAAAAATATTCCATGCCGTTGTTTTCTAAAAACTTTCTACAATTCGATGGAGTTTCATCAGTCACATTCCACATGGTGGACCAAGCGACTTCCAAAACGTCATCACAGTGTCCTCTCTCTAATCTTTCAGATATCAGCCAGATCATTTTCTGTACCAAAAAAAAAATTAACTTCAAAATATTTAAAAAAAAATAAGGAGAATTGTTCGTACATTGATAGCGCCCAATTCACCCAATCGAACTTTTTGTTGTCCGCCCACTTGGCACGCTAAAGAATTTAATAAATAAATTCCAATTCTTTGTACAAAACTTTCCGAAGTCAATCCGTGTACGGAATAAAGTAGAACATCTACTAAACGTTCATATTCAAAGAGCTGAAATAAAAATGTTGGGCAAAGGGATATTTGTCAATATACAATACTAACCACATCCAAAGGTATCTTAAACTGACACAAAGTCAAACAACCGTTACGCATCATGGTTTCATCATAGCGATGCACACTCATGCCATTCAATAGGGTCGAAATTACTTTCCTTTTTACATGAATCGCGTCGTGCAGCTCCCTATCGGTGCCTTTTACAATGTAGAATAATGTAGCACTAGAATATATGAAAAAAAATTTTGTTACAAGTTTTATTTCTCAGATACATTGTTCATAGAAGAGCAAAGAACAACACAATAATTTCAGTTGTGGAACTTGACACAGCATTTTTCGAGTCTTTCTTTATCACCCCTTATGAGTGTACCATTAGTATGAACTACAGAGGATTTATTAGCTTTTAGTTCAAGAAGTCATTTGCCAGTCCAGTTTTTAAGTACTGCTAAGTTTTGACAGTCAAACATGAGCTGGCAAGTTCCATCTACAAGGTGATTTTTCAATGAATTAAATTTAAGCAGCACTCTTTCAAGTAAAACAGTTTGCAGAATAAATGTAAAACCAGAAAAGAGAAGCAAGAAAATAATTCTCCAGCATCACTGCTAACTATGAGGTCATGGACATTCTTTTCATTCAACCTAAGGATCGTCAATCCCCAGAAGCCTTGGCTAACTCAAGAAATTTTCACACACATTGAAAAAAAAGAGAAATTTGTGGTACAACTTGAAACACTAAAAAACATCTAGTCTGCATACATCAAACAAATAAAGGGCATGGGCGTCACATAATTTTTATTTCTTTAAATGGTGATATACAATATCAAACAACACAAATAATACGTGAAATAAAACAACAAATAATGAATAAATTGGGAAGACACTGGTTATAGAAATCCTGTAATCTAGTCAGTAGGTTCATCTACATCGTTCCCAGGAAGACGCAAGTAGCTCACCCCAATAATTGAACCTATAGGCGCGAGCCGACCTAAATTATTATTTTGGGCTACTGTAGCAATACTTCGTGGCTGCTTATATTTTGCACAGGGAAACTTATTTATTTATTTATTTATTGACGGCAGTGCCATTTTTTAACAATGATAAAATTATAATTCAAACTTCATCTAACATGTGCATGCAAGTAGTAAAAAGAAAGAATAACAATAATAAGAGACACGGATCTGAAGACAGAGGAATTTTGACCGTAGTTCAAGTAGTTGATGCTCGTTCAATTCTGTGGATATGGAAAGCATACTGGAATCTCATACAGAGCTGGCATACTCCAAGAGCGTTCTAACAAGACTGCAATATAGAAAGTCAGAAGTATCACATATGATAAATTCTAGCATTTTCAGTGATTACCAATGATTGATATTATGTGAGAGGAAAATGATAGCTTATCATCAAGAATAATTCCAAGATCCTTTACGTTTACAACTGATGGTAAAGTTGCACCATGAATAAGATAATGAAAATTAGTTTTCAGAGAAAATATCATGAGATTGCACTTAGAGATATTAACATGCATACCATTATCACGACAACAAGCCACAAATCTGTGGATATCCTCCTGCAAAGCAATGCAGTCGTTAAGATCGGATATTACTCTATACATTTTTAGATCGTCTGCAAACAGAAAGAACTCCGAAGACTCAAAGACTGAAAACAGGGTGCAACATCATTGATGAAGATATTGAAAAGTCCAGCCGGCAGAGTAAGGGTTCATTTATACCCATCGTTTTGAGTTTGTCTATCAGTACATTATGTGGAACCTTATCAAAGGCCTTGGAGAAATCTGTGTAGATGGAATGGACCTCAGCTCCACTCTCCAAGGCCTGCAATAATACAAACTGAGATTAGGTAAGGAGATTAAGTTCAGTATTTCTACCCACACCGAAGCCAAACTGCTGGTTAATGATTTCAGGAGACAATAGTGAGCTTATGGCTGTTTCCACCAACTATTAGAGGGAAGTCTTAATGAAAAGTAATCCTTGAACTGACATTTCTCCATGGAAGACTGTCATTTTAAGGAATGCTTATCATTGAGGCTTTCCTGAAATAGTTGGTGAAACGGCCATTAGATACTTAGTTACAAGGTTTTCAAAAATTCTTGGAATGGTATTAATGATGCAAATGGGCCGGTAATTTTTTATGTTGGACTTGTCTCCAGATTTATGTATTGCGACTACAAAACTTGTTTTCCAGAATTTGGGAAAAGATCTACTTTTCAAAGATGTATTAAATATAATGTGTAGGGGCCTAGCGAGAATAAAGGGGCAGTTTTTAAGAAAGACAGGATATATATTATCAGGACCCGGACGCTTGTGAGGATTCAAGCTAATAAGCTAATATGTTAAATATGGAAATAGAGTAATTGTGACCATAAATATGATTTATTGACAACTTTTGATTGCATTGTGGGTTACAGGCAGAGTAGACCGAGGAAAAATAACCTGCAAATAGGTTGACAGCATCAGGACCCATGAAAGCACTTTTATTATCAAGAGTGAGTAGATTAGGTATCTCAGGCGCATTGTGTTTAGAATTACAGAAATTCCAAAATGGTTTTAAATTAGTAGAGAAGTAATTTTCAGTGTTTTGGACAAAACTCCTATAACATTCCCAGGAAAAGACTGCACACTGTGATATTAGGTTGGCAAAAACTTCATAGTCATGAGCAGATTTACTGTTTTTATAATTTTTATGGGCAATCTTCTTTTATATTGTTAGACTTATAAGATCCCGACTGAACCTCCTAGGAAACTTTCCACTGGGTACCTTCTTGACTGGAACAAATAGATCAAAGCAACTATAGACAATATCATAAAATGTGTTTAACATGGAATCTACATCCAGATTGGATAACAGATTATCCCAGCAGATACAAAGTCTGCAGATTTATAACCATGGTAATAGCAATCGACTCTAGTACCAACAGATGTGTAACATGATTGCGGGATAGGCAGGTCAAAGCAAAGGGGTGGATGATCATTATCAATGGGAACCAGAGGAACACAATAATTAACGCTAAGTATTTTGTGGGATAGAACTAAATCGAAATAAAATTATTCCGGAAAAGGTTATGAAAAGCCCAAAGATCTGAGATTGTAGCAATCATAAACTTACAATATATTTTCTATGAAATCAATAGAAGAAAGCGACATGATGTTGAAATATCCTCATATAATGCAGTGTTTCAAGTCAGAATAAAAATACTTTAACTTGTTTTATTTTGTTGCACCATTTGAAAATAACTGAAAGATCACACCTTGTCAGGTATCCAAGAACAACTTATATAGGGTTGTCCTTATGTACAAAAACATCCTGATATTTCCTACGGGGTTTTTGGGAATGCCCGATACAATGGTGGTACATATTTGCATTGTTGCCAACTTCGCCGTTTCTAAAATGTCCAATGTAACTTGATTTTTTCAAATGAAAGTTCCTATTTTTATCGCAATTAATTCAGTGTCCCAACATTACTTTTGTACTTCAGTTTTTGAAATATTGCAACACAGATTTTTTGATGAAATGTATGGAAACGGTCTCGTATTTCAGAACAGACTTTGGAAAAATGTTATTGTATGTATTCAAGCTTTATAGGGGGGCTGAGGCTGGTAGGACCAAGTAGTGTAGCGCTACTTTGGTTTTCCGGTGAGAAAGCGGTTGATTTCGGAATTTTCGGAAAACTCGGGCGCCACCCTTAGGATTAATGTGGTTAAGGGGCCACGTGCTCTAGGTAGCTTTTAAACAGTTGGAGACGGAAAAACCAGAGGTCAATATGCGCATTTTCCCGAAAATGAAAAACACAGAAAGGTAACTAACGAATTAAGTTTATTACGTCAAAAATAATAGATGCAATACGTAATGGAAAATGATTAAATAGCTATTTATGTACCAAGGGGATTATGTAGATTATAATGCCCAAAGGCGAAACTAGCCCGAGGGCCTATGGCCCGAGGGATATATTTCGCCTGAAGGGCATTATAATCTTGAAATCCCCGTGGTGCATACAATGCTTTATTTTCTACTCGACACAATGTTTTTTCATCAATTTGTTATTAACAAAATCAGTTAAACTTGTGTGACAGAATATTGTTTTGTATTTTGACATGTACCTGTACCTGTGACCTGTACCTGTACCTGCGACCTGTACATAGAAACGAAATACATTAATATATCTATAAACATCTCATAAGGCAAGGCAACGGTGGTGGTCCTGTGGGTTAACGCGCTGGACTACATGGGAAACGTTGATGGTAGACCGGGTTCGAATCCTGGCTAGACCGAAAATTATTTTCGGTCAGACATTTAGTGGCTGCCTAGGGTAAAGTGCAAATTAATAGAACAACAACAACAAAAACACCTTAAGGTATTATAAGCGGGCGTTATAGATCATAACGCCCGCAAAAGCGGGCGTTATGGATCAGGTTGTTATAGGTGTGTTAACGTATTTCGTTTCCTAGGTATTATGGATCTATAATAGTAAAGTAGAAAATAAAGATAATAATTAATGAACTGACGGAATAACGAAAAGAGAGAGAGAGCGAGCGTGTAAACGAATACTAGCGTGCCTTTTAGGTTATGCGGCGGTAGACGCGAAAGCTTATACGGAACGGTTACGCGGGACAGTAACGGTACGCGGGGAAGCGTTCGGTGTTCGGTTCTATTGGATCGTACGGTTTCAAACAAGGTCACGAGTTTTATTTAAATAAATTATCATGTAGAATTAATCAGGTCGAAGTAATTAATTTAGAACCGCGGTAGCACTCATTAAAATACCCGGAAAATTATGTAAGTTCGTTACAGTAGCAAATATTATATATTTTTCTAAAGCCTATTCTGAGATACGAGACCGTTACCATACATTTCAACTAAAAAACTGTTGCCATATTTCAAAAACCAAATCAAATGGAGCTTTGGCATTTGGGGGTGAAGTTATAACGCTGAAGTTATAACAATAAAAATGAAGAGGGACTTTCATTTGAAAAAATCAAGTTACATATTGTTCGTCGATTTTTAACTGACACTTTCCGTATGAGGAGCGAGGGGGTGTTTCATATGGCAAAAACAGGTGTGATGTCAGGTAACCATTGGCGTTCTAATGTAGGGAGCCTCTAGCTCACATTTCGTCCGAGTATCAGATTAAAATCGACGGACAATACAGCATCTTAGAAACGGTAATTTGGCAATATTGCAAATACCACCATTCAATTTGGCATTCCAAAAAACCCTCAGGTAGGAAATATATTACAATGGATACATTCAGTGACAGAGCAATCGTTCTCATAAGAACGTTGTTCCTCGGTTTCGAGAATAAAGTCCCTACTGAGTGGCTGAACTTAGCTGCTGGCACCGCCTGAATGTACCCATTGTTCTTAAGCGCGTTCAGAAATATTAGGCCGTTTCCATACATAACGTAAACCCTGTATAATTGTTAGACTATTTTGAAGAGTAGAAGCTACATTATACCCATCAAATTCAATTCCTTACCTTCCTGAAATTTGAATATGCCTCTCATCCAAATGCCGATTCATCGATTCCAAAACGACATCCAAAGCCTGCCCGACAAATTGGCAGGTTTCAAATCGAAATAGCTGAAACAGTTCGTTCAGTACCTTTTGTAGCATATCAGTTCTGTCCATGTAAGCAAGAGCTGATATGAGAATTTGTTCTTCATTGGCATTACCTGCAATCTATTTTCAAACGATTTATTTAAAAAGTAGAAAATAATTCATAATACTAACCAATTTAGAAGGAATATCATGTCTGAAGCACGCAGCATGCATCGTTTCGTACAAGCCCAAAAAATGAAAAGGATTATCCACTCTGGATATCAATCCGGGAATATCTGAACCTCTGGCTTCATTCGTTTCAGATACTCCTGTACCAGCCAAGTTAGTTCCGGAAATATCCAAGGACATCAATTGAGGCAAATTATTAACAAACGCTGTTAATGTAGCAGTGGGATCAGGAAATTTTCTGTTGTCGTCTTTACTTTGAGATACATCCAAGTGCGTTAGAGTTTTTAATTTACATATTGCTGGCAGCATTTCGTCTATATTACTGACGTTATACAAAATAAGTGTGCGTAAACTTGTTAAATGTTCTGTGTAAGTGAAGTTGTCTAGAGAGTCACAATTACTTAGGTCTAAGTGTGTTAGTTTGTTCATGGGGTTCAAGAGCATTTGATAGAAAAAGTCTGGTAAACCGTGACAGTTTTTTAAGGCAAATTTTTGTAAATTTGGTGTGTTGAATATAAAATTTTGCCCACAATTATCGTGTATATCTATAAAAGCGTAAATACTCAATGGAAATATATTTACATCGTCTCCAATTATTAAAGTTACCAAACTAGCTCCATAAGTACTAATATGCTTTATACAATTATGTGTCAATTCTTTACTGCGAACCAGCTCTAATTCTCTAAGCTGATGGCTCAGTAAAACTTCCAAATCATGATCTAGTATCTTGCTTTTCCTTAACCGCACCCGTTTCAACCTAGTATTGTTTGTATCTTTAAAAATATTTATAAAATTCGAATCTATACTTTGCAAACTTTGCGATCTAACTGACAAGAGCTTTTCGCATATTTCTACAGGCAATGAAATATTGTCTTTGAGTTTTAGGTAGCCCGAATAACCAGTAAATTCGCATATCGATTCTAGTTTTTTATTGATGTAGTTAAAGCATAGATCTAGCAACTTTTCTGTAGCCGAACTGTTGCAAAAGCAACAGGCCTCCGACGGTATGTTGGGGCAATGACGACATTTGCTATTAGTGTCTTGTAACATCTGGAAATTTTATTTTTCATTTATTGGGTAACTTGTATTGCAAAATTTATATCATAATAAAAAACTTACCTCTTTTAAAGAATTATTTCGATATTGACCACATGACAACTGAATATTTTAATTATTTCAAATTGAACTTATTTAACTACGAACGAATATTTGGAATTTTAATTTGAATTAAACAAGTAATTCACAGATGTTTTGGGAAATTAATTTAATTTTTTTCTTTTTGTTATGAAGTTTTTGTTTTTGACATTTGACCAGTCAGCTGATTTTTGAGTGTTGACAATTGTTTAGCTGTCAGAGGATTATCAGAACTAGAGGAAAATGATATGGAGTTATTCTCTCTTTCTTCAATGAATACCACTAAAAAAAGACATGTAATGATAAATGGATTTATATTCGGAACTTCCAAAAAATTTCAATTATTTTTATAGGTTATATGAAAAATAAACATTTTTCCATTTAAATGAAATCACATTCAAATAAAAGGAAAATAAACACCCTGTGTATCCTACTAGCGATAAGATTCCCAATGAGACACGCTTTCACTGAAATTAGATCACAATAGTTGGATTTTTACCTACCAGAACAAGTAGACTATCGACTACTGCTGGAGAAAAGTTTTGTTATAATGTCATATAAAGCAAAGTAAATAATTAAATATTAATTATTTATACAATGCTCAAAATATCTGTTTTTTTCCAGACTGAAGGAATTCGACCTCATATTAGAGCAGGACGTGGTTAAACTTGAAGATTTGAAAAAATTGTCCTTTCATGGTAATACTCGTGGTGATATTTGCTTTTGCATGAAATTTTTTTCAAGTACAGTGATTCCTTAACATTTTAAACCAAGTTTTTAATTTTAAAATTGCTTTTGAACTGTTTATGAAAAAATCTCTAAGTATTCAACAAGTGTATGTCAAAGCAAAGGACCACGCACGGATCTTATGAGAAAAAATAAATTTCACGATTGTCATGTCATGAAATTGAAATATGTTATGCTTCTCGACCTCCTGGAACGTAAGTTGTCGTAGGCCCAAAAAGATCCTATGATAAGTTTCGGAGATACAGGACCGATAAAAAAAAGTAGTACAAGTAAAATCTCCAGGATCTGCTGGTACATTAATTTAATTAATAACCAAAAATGACATATTTTTGGCATTTTTCGACAAGTTTTCAACCTTCAAAGCTTCAGATGACATTACTTTGGCATTTATACACCCGTTTTTAACCTAGAATATGTCATCACATATGTCATTGCCTGAACTCAACATATTTTGAAATGTGCATTTTTTGTCAAAATTATGTACAATATGTTAACCTGGGGTCGTATTTTCGAATATTCTCGCATACGAAATTTGATTCGATTTCGAATACTCCCCATTTAATTTACATTGCTGTCAATCAAATTTCGTATACGAAATGTACTCGAATGAATTCGAAAATATGACCCCTGGCCCTGTATCTCCAAAACTAATCATAGGATCTTTTTGGGCCTACGACAACTTACGTTCAGGAGGTCGAGAAGCATAACATCACATAACATATTTCAATTTCATGACAATCGTGAAATTTATTTTTTCTCATAAGATCCCTGCGTGGTCCTTTATTAATAACAATTAATAAATAGATCATAAAGAAAAAAAGGTCAAGAAGTTCGCAGATATTTACTCAATAACATCAGGCAAATAGTTTTGAGAACAATGTAACAACTTCAATCAAAGAATATAACAATTTTTATCACTACGGTAGATATTTAATCAAGGCCCGATTTATTCATCTTCATTTTATTTTATTTGTTTAGTCTACTTAAGTATTGCATGATTTTAAAGTTTAATTGCTTACCTATTAGTAATAAGAATTGCTTTGTCAATGAAATATGTGTATTTTGAGACAATAAAGCTTATTGAGATTGAGATTGAGATCAGATAAACTTGCTGGTAACTATCTGCAAGATGAATTTACGATTCTATAATTCTATTGGTCGGCGGATAACAGGCAGACCAATGGGATTACAGATTGCGTTTTTATCTGTCAGCTTGCATACCTGACAGTTTATCAGAAGGTCAATGAACCGGCCCTAAATTACATAAGAAAATACCCAATAAAATATTCAAATCAAATATATCACAGAATTATTTTGAATTTACATTGTTTTACATAGAGTCCTTATTGCTAATATACCGGGTGTCTACGAGATTAGTTTCGCACTGGCATTTGCTGGGTTTTTTTTCAATGGCAAAGATTTTTCGTATAGAGTATAGGTTTGCGAAATGTCATCTTTTGACATATGTGTCAATGTTTGGTAACTTCCGGTTTGACTGGAAATGACCCTAACTTCGAAATTTCGAATGGCATCCCAAGAATTTTTTCGCATTTTTGGGATCTGCGGATCATGATGTGTATAAAAACGTCAAATTTGAACATTTTTGAAGAAACTTAAGAATTCTGGATCAAAATTTATTCTTGAATAGAAAGTGACAGAATGGCCTTTAAACTGTTTTTTTCAACTCGCACGATAGTAGAAAAATGCGAATGCCAAGTTGTTATCCTTTGCTTGTTCTCCAAAGGCTTCCAAAGTTGAAAAAATCACATTTTACGTGATAACTCAATGAAATCGGTGAAATCACCCAGCTTTCACAACAAAAGATTTTTACCTTTTTTAAAATGAAATCAACTATGCATTAACACTTTTCATTTATGCCAGCTTTTAATTATTTTCTCATTATTTTTATTATGCACTACTATAAGTGATGAAACTACTTATAAATGAACCCCTGTATGAAAAAAAGCTGTCTAAAAGGAGCTGGTGGTCTTTTTTTACTTGTCAAGCCATTGACAAGATCTATGGACAAGATATGTTTGTTTGCATAGACATTTGTCATTGTTTGGCATCTCGAGAATTTGTAAATATAAAGTTTGAATACAGGGGCTCATTTATAAGTAGTTTTATCTTATCATTTATAGTAGTGCATAATAAAAATAATAAAAAAATAATTAAAAACTGGAATAAATGAAAAGTTTCAATGCATAGTTAGTTTTATTATGAAAAAGGTAAAAAACTCTTGTTGTGAAAGTTGGGTGATTTCACTGATTTCATTGAGATATCACGTAAAATGTGATTTTTACAACTTTGGAAGCTTTTGGAGAACAAGCAAAGGATAACAACACGACATTCGTATTTTTCTACGATCGTGTGAGTTGAAAAAAACAATTTAAAGACCATTCTGTCACTTCCTATTCAAAAATAAATTTTGATCCAAAATTCTAAAGTTTCTTCAAAAATGTTCAAATTTGATGTTTTCATACACATCATGATCCGCAGATCCCAAAAATGCGAAAAAATTCTTGGGATGCCATTCGAAATTTATTTATTTATTTATTAACGGCAAGGCAAATTTACAAAAACAATCGTAAAACAATTTGCAATAAATAGTTTAACAATAACTAAATCTAAGCACTAACAATCACATCCTGTTCTTCCCCAAGTTAATACCTAACCAAAAAACATACGACTCATTTTTAAAAAACTAACCAGCAAGCAGCAGTTGCAATCTCCTCTTAAAGGCAGCAACAGAAGGACAACCAAAGATGTCAATACTCCGGCTCCTGGAGTTGGCAAACCTGAGCACCCTTGAGATCGACTCATTCATACCATAATTAGTATTATGGAATGGTACATAAAACAGGTCAGAACCTCTCACCCTTCTTTCTCCTGCTCTCAAAGAAACGAGACCCAAAAGATCTGGGCAGTCAATTAACCCTCTCAAAAGTCTGTAAAGAAAGGAAAGATCCGCCTGAAGTCTCCTGGTTTTCAAGGTATGAACATTCAAGATAGCCCTCATCTCATCATAAGTATACTCATCATGAGCCAAGCCCAACCTGTAAGCAGCCACCCTTAGAAATCTATTCTGAACCCTTTCCAGAGCTGCAATGTGAACAGCATATTGGGGTGACCAAACAACTGATGAGTATTCCAACAAGGATCGGACCATCGCACAGTACAGTGTTCGCAATGTACTCACTGACATATCAGTAGTGGACCTACATATAAAGCCGAAACATCTAACAGCCCTTGATACAGTATTGGTAACATGGCCATTAAATGACATCTTGGAATCAAATTCCACACCCAAATCTCGAATGCTCGCTACTTCCCTGATTGATGTGTTATTAATTGTGTAAGGGAAATTCACCGACTGGGCCAACCTGGAAAAAGTTATCCTATAACATTTGGCGATATTGAGGTCCATTTCGTTCAAGCCACACCATTTGTCAAAAGAATTGATATCATATTGCAGCAGTTGTGAGTCTTCCAATGATGATACCTGACGATAAAGTTTAAGGTCATCTGCAAATGACAAAAATGAGCTGTGGGCAACAGAACTACCCACATCAGATATGAACAGATTGAACAAGACTGGTCCACAGTGAGACCCCTGAGGAACTCCAGAAGGAACATCAAAGACCCGAGACACAACACCACCATACCTTACTGCCTGTGTTCTCGCAACAAGAAAGTCATCAAACCAACTCAAATTACGAAGTTAAGGAAACTAATCTCGTAGACACCCGGTATTGTCTTACAAATTGTAATTTAAGCACCTAAGCGATTAGATCCCCTGTATGTACTATAATCATCCATTTGTTTAAAAGTCTTATATTAGTTCAAGTTTTTTCCTAAATAAATATATGCAGTGTAAGGCAGATAAGAATAATTTCAATAACAATAAAGTTCTCCCTCATTTTTTATTTTAAAAGATTATCAAACTCATTTTGTTAAATATAAAACATTTACAATTTTTGATAAATTTTTTCAGACTTGGTGTATTTCTCAATTCTGAAGGTAGAAAGTTAAAAAATTTTGGGCTCAGATAATTCAAGAATCTCAAGTTCATTGTTGACTTACTTTGAGGTATCTGGAGGTTCATTTGAATATTGATGCGAGTTGGGTAGTCATGATTTACATATTTCCTAAAATTCTCCTGTTTGTATACAAAAATACACGTTTCTAAAATGTATAAGGATCTTACATTGAAAATCTGATGATTATATAATTGGCATGTTGGATATAGTTTATTCCCCGGTTTACTCTTTTTGTATATAATTTTGAAGATATAATTTTGTGCAACATTGAGTTGTTCAAGGAACGTTGTTATACAGACCACCCCAGACTATATTGCCATATCTCAATAGTGATTCTATCAAAGCCTTATATATTGAGATCATAACTTTTTGCCCATTGATTCTCTTATCTGATAAAATTTATAAATGAGCTTCCTGATACTATTTTTCACCTTCAAAACCTGTTCCTTCCATTTCAAGTGCTTATCAATGATCACCCTGAGGTACTTAATGTGGGGGACCTCCTCGATTTCACTCTGGAAGTTCTCCACAAAAATGCCGGAGTAATCTGGTCGATTTGCCATTGTGAGTGAAAATGCCACATACTTTAGTCTTTCCTGTGTTTAGTAATAATTTTTTATTATCCAGTCAGTCTTTTACTTTCATCCAATTCACTACTAACCATCCTTTCCACATCATCCCAAGTGTCCCCCGAGATAAGTAGAATGGTAACGGCGGCATAAGATGATACAGAGCCCTGTATGTGTATGTTTGTTAAAGAATTTATATATGTGATAAACAGTACAGGGCCCAGAACTGTACCTTGTGGAATACCTATTTTTTTTTATTATTTTGATGTTCATTGTGTCACTATAGGTGTCTTTAACTCTTTGTTCCCTGTTGAAAAGATAAGAACGAAAAACCTCCAACACAGCACCCCTGACACCGTAACTCTCCAAAGTGTCGATAAGCTGGGGGGTACCTTGTCGAAAGCCTTTGCCAAATCCAGAAAGAATGCTATGTTTTTTTTTTTGTTTTTTTTTAAGAAATGATAGTAATCGGTCTTTGAGACATTTCTCAAACAGCTTTCCGAAGTTGTTCATGACCCTTATTGGACGATAGTTGCTATGTTTTTTTGATATCTGGACTTACGGATTGGAGTGACAATTGTTGTTTTAAACTGACTGATATTATAAATATCTACTTATAATATGATGTCATTTAGAGCAGGTTTATTCACCTTCTGATAAACTGTCAGGTAGATATGCAATTTAACGGATAAAAACGCAATCTGTAATACCACAGGTCGGCCAGTTATCTACCAACCTATTGAATTATAAGGTATGTTCCAATTCCGTCAAAAACCTTCCCATGAACGGTTTCGCAACCACTTGGATTCTACGCACAACTTTTAGTCCCGGTTGTACCAGATAGTGGTTCAGTTGAACTCTAACTTGTGTTTGAACTTTCCCATTCATTTATTTATTTATTTGATTCACTTGACAAACACCCGAGCCGAGGTAGGTAATTACATGTAAAGGTTCGCAGATAGCCAAAGGCTCAATAACAACAATAGGTCTTAATATAAAAATTACTTTAAGAATAAAAAACAAAATATAAAATAAAACAAAATAAAATAAGATAAAATCAGACAGACAGACAATAAATAGATATGATGGCTCGCTAGGGCATAAAACTATGACTCAAAGTAGGTACCCAATAATAATAAAAGCAAAAACGATGACAATAAAAAGACGAACATAATTTCTTCAGACTAATTCTTGATGGAGCTTGAAAGTTTTCTTAGCTGATTGATGCTAACATTGAAAATATCCAGATTTGCACTGCTTGTCAGCACCTCATTGCACACTGAAAGCATATGGTTTATTGGGGAATGACTAGATTTATCAACATAAAATGGTTCCCTATTTGATATTCTTAAATGTATTTTTGGCACACTCAATCGAATATAGTTAGTAAGATCACAGCTCTTGTATTTCGAATTGTTTAAAATATAGTAAATGAATATGACAGCCTTTGTCTTCCTTCGAGTAGATAGGCTAACCATATTGAAATCATCAAGCATGGATCTGTATGAAACCATGTATGGATAAACATTATTTTTCTTAACATAAAGATATCGTAAGAAAAGTTTTTGAAATTTTTCTATTTCATTGGTGTTTACTGCAGTTGTTGGATTCCAAATATTACTAGCATATTCCAAATGTGGTCTCACCAGAGAATTATACAAGATTATAATAGTTTCAACTCGAGTTTCACTAAGAATTTTTTTTGTTTTACATATAACAAAGCCTAGAGCTTTGTAGGCTTTAATAATGATATACATGTAATAGTTATTAAATCTGAAAGTAGAAAAACAACGCCTAGATCCCCGATTTAATTTTTTCTAACCAATTTAACATCGCCCACAAAGTAATCTTCAAGAATTCAATCTTCGAAAGTTCAGAACTTAGTCATCTGATCAAGGAGATCTTTGAGGAAAATACTAACGTTCTCATCTTGGAGATTTCAACTACCTAGAAATATGTTGCAAATCACTTACACTGAATAAACCTTGCCAAAAAGCCAACGAATTCCCGACATTATTATTATTATTATTATTAAATCCTTTATTTAGCATAAAAATTGCTAGTTTACAATAGTACAAAATATATACATATATATGAAAAGTAAGTAAAAAATAAAATGTAAAATAATAAATAATTCATAAAATAGGTAAACTAACAGAACAAAACTTAATAATCACAAATGATACACAATAATTTAAAAGTTATCACAAGATCAACCATCCAGTATATCACAATTACCTAGCATATAAATTTTTAGTTTTTTTTTGAAACTCAACAATGAAGTGCAGTTTTTTATCTCTTCTGGTAGGGTATTAAACTTGTTAAATCCTTTATGAAAAATTGAATTCATTGTACATTTTTTACTCTTTGGATTATGAAAAAAATATTTCTATTTCTGGTATTATAGTTATGCACTTCATTGTTGTAAACTATTTTGTTTATAAGGTATTCAGGAGCACGTCCAATCTTTATCTTAAAAATAAAAACCAAGGCATTAAGTATACCTTACAAATTCCACAACCGGTAGCCATTGCATTATTCTTAACATTGAGTTTATTGGTGTATACTTGCTACAGGAAAGAATTATACGCATAGCCCGGTTCTGCAATTTTTGTAGTCTAGCCACCTCATTCTGCTTGAATAAATACATGATTGTTGCACAGAAGTTGAAATGTGGCAAAACTAATGTATTATATACAACTAACTTTGACCAGAAAGAGAGAAAATAGGAACATCGAGATAGATAGTTAACACTAAAACTTATTTTAGACACAATATAATTGCAATGTTCCCTAAATAAAAGTTTATCATCCACTATCACCCCCAAATATTTAAACTTTTGTACTCTTTGAATCTTATCAGATCCAACCATCAATGAAAGATCATTGTCATCACAATGGAGTTTGGTTTTGTCATTGGTTATTAACATGAATTTTGACTTATTCGCATTTAACTTTGAACGATATTTCACAGTATATTTATAAATTCTATTTAACGCCGCATTCATGTTTTGAACAAGGCTTGTCAAATTCCTAGAAGCTGCATAAACCAGTGTGTCATCAGCAAATAAGTGAACATTAGCATTTCCTAAAATATCTGCCATGTCATTTATATATAAAATAAAAAGTAGTGGCCCCAGTACGCTACCCTGAGGTACACCATGATAATTTTCTAAATTTCCAGAAACTCTTCCATCACATACACATCCACCAACACCCACTGCTTCAAGTTTATTTAAGAGCATTTTGCGGTCTACCGTCTCAAAAGCAATTACCATATAGTTACTATCAGCCCAATTCTTCCACTCATCCACAACACACTGAACCGCAGTTTCACAACTGTGGTTCGCTCTAAACCCTGATTGAAATTTAGTTATTAAGTTATTATGTTCAACAAAATCTAGCAACTGTATGTAAACAATTTTTTCAATTACCTTTTCTATTGTTGCAAGAGTATTTATAGGCCTGAAATTTGTAGCATCAAGAACATTTTCTTTTTTTTGGACGGGTATTATAGTGGACATCTTTAACCGTAACATGTTACAAGGAATCGAGATGCCAGCAACTAATCTCCTTTGACACCAGATTTAGAAACAATCAGAGCTCCCTTTTGGATCTTATCTTATCAAGTGACAAAAAGATGATGTCTAACATAGAATCTAGACCACCCTTTGGCAAGAGTGACCACAACCTCATTGCTGCAACAATGCAACTCCAACTCAAAAAACAGCCTACAAAAAAAATAAAAAAATAAACTTCTACATAGACAACTACGAACCAGTCAATGATCATATGAGAAATAAAACAATCAGAATCAAAACAACAGTAAGTAACTACCAAGACTTCGAAAATATTCTCACGACAGCAATTGGAAAGTTCTTTCCAGGAAAAATTTGCAAAACAAACGTACAGAAACTATGGATAAATCAGAGAATTTTTAGAGAAATCGATAAAGAAAGAGAATTGTGGACCAAATAAATAAAAAATAAAACGGACGCACAGTATAAAATATACAGGACGCAAAACAACAAACTAAAATCATTCATAACTGAAGCACGTCTTAAATATGAACAGGATATCCTGGAAAAGAACTATAAACATTTCTACTCCTAGTCCTACATAAGGAGAAATCTAAATACCCAGCTTTATGATGTCGTAATTAAGGATCCAAAAGACCAACAGATATCGAGGGACCCAAAAAACACTGCAAATATCTTTGCAAGTCAGTTTGAATTAGTCTTCACAAATGAATCCTTATCCAACTTTCCTTCGTTGCCGTAACAAACACGAAATAAAGACCAATTAAAAAAAATAATCATAACCACTGAAGCGGTCACCGAAGCTTTAAAAGACCTGAAAACTCACTCCAGTCCAGGACCAGATGGAATACCTGCAGTATTTCTGAAAAAATTGTGCACCATCCATAAGACCACTTATAAAATCACTATTCGACAGTTCCCTTGTAGAGGGTATCCTACCAGAAATATGGACCCAGGCAATTGTAATACCAATTCACAAAAGCGGCGACAAGTATAAGTATAATCCGGCTAACTATAGACCAATTAGCCTGACATGGACACTGTGTAAGTTATTGGAAAAAATAAAAACCTAGCAAAAAGCATTAGAACAAACATCGAAGCCTTTGCAAATGACAAAAAAATTTTTTGCAACCCACTGACACAAATGCACCTGTTCCAAGAAGATCTGCAAACAATAGAGCAATGGACAGCACCTGCAACTCAAGCTCAACGAGGCAAAATGCGCAGTGCTCCATATAGGTCACAAAAATCCAATGATTCAGTACAAAATCAACATCATAGAATTAAAAAATGTAAAAGAACAGAAGGACCTAGGTGCATATATAACTAAACTAACGATCTAAAATGGGAAACACATATAGGACACATAGTAAAAAAGGCCAACCAGATGTCCTACTTGATGAAACTAGAGTTTGCAAACCACTCCATTAGCATGATAAAAAAGCTTTACACTACTTTCATCAGACCTAAGCTTGAATATAGCCATACAGTGTGGAACCCTTACTATATTAAAGACATCGAACTTTTGGAGCGAGTGCAACGTAGAATAACTAAAATTCCACTTGAGATGAGACACTTACCTTACGAGACCAGGCTACAGAAATTCAATTTAACAACACTGAAGCAACAGAGAGAAAGAGGTGACCTAATAGAGACCTACAAAATTCTCAGCAGTTACTACTCGCCGGACATTATGATATCAGATATGTGCAATTTAAATTTAAATCAAAACCGCAATCTCAGAGGACACCACCAAAAATTAAAAAGAGAAAGGGCCCTACTGCTCGGAAGAAGGAACTTCCTGAGCAACCGTGTCGTATACCAGTGGAATTCTTTAAGTGAAGAAACTATAAGTGCACCTAACAAGAATGTATTTAAAAAAAGACTAGACAAAAACCTAGAAGCGTTGAATAATGCCACAGTGCATTATTTGTAACTTCTCATACATAAGACCAAAACCAAGACAATTTAAAGCAATAGACTCATCGGACACTAACCGCTTCCTATTGCTATACTGATAATAATAATAATAATAATAATAATAATACAATTAACCGCAATTAACCTTCCGGGTATATACTATATGTGACTACTGAGCACTTTTCCCTATTCACTGGCATTCTGTTATCTTTAAACCATTCCATGGCCGCATCCAAATCAAACTGCAAGTCAGCACAATCTTTTGCACAATAAACCGTTTTAAAAAGCTTAAAATCATCTGCATACAGCAAACTATAGGATGACATTAAGAATTCAGGTAGATCATTTATTAATATTATTCTTCCGACATAGAAACAAATTGATCAGAAAAAGTATGTCCAACCTTGACAGACTGTTGGCGTTGTGACAAATATGACCTTAAGAAGCTACAGCCTTTAGAAGAGAGACCAAAATTAGCCAACTTACTCAGCAATATGCCGTGGTCTACCTTGTCAAATGCCTTTGCACAGTCCGCGTATATAACATCCAGCATCCAGTTGTTTCTTATTAGTGATGGCTTCAGACCATATCTTCAGACACACATTCCGAGAAACAGCATAGGTTGGTACCTGTAGATCTGTCCTCCAGAAACCTGTATTGAAGTTGTGATACATTATTATAAATATGACACAAAAGGTCCCTGTACATACAGATTCTTTTCAAATATCTTACTTGGACTGTTCAGTAAGCTTATTGGCCGGTAATTTCTTATATCCTCCCAGTTGCCATTCTTGAAAATAGGCGAAATTACTGCCGTTTTAAGAATATCAGGAAAGCAGCGCTGTCTCAATGCTAAAAAATTCGGCGCATCCCTTGTAAATATAGGATGGTATGCCATCAGGCCCAGTTGATCTTTTTGATTTTAAAGATTTGATACTGTCAAGAATGTCATGATCTGAAATGCAGGAACAGTTGATGAGTGTGTAGTCAGCTTGGGTTTGGCAATTGGAAATTTGGTTTTTTCCTTCCGCAAAAACAGATTGAAAATACTGTGCAAAAGCATTTGCTATACCCATAGAGTGAACCTGTCATTGTCAAGCACCATTTCCAGTGGTATCCCACCATGGCCCGAGTTACCACACACAAAAGACCAGAAAGTGTTTGGATCAAGCTTCAACCCTTTTTTTGTGTTCAAGTCAAGATACGCTTTCCTGGTTTGAATCTTAATTTCCCTCCTTAAAGTTTTAAATTCGTTTCGCTCTATGGAACACCGGCTATGCCTCTCATAATCAGAGTGTGCAAATGATTTTTTCCCCCTGACTTTATGAACGAAGTCCATGGAGTACCAGGTAGATATCTACGAGTGCGTCTGTTCTCTCTTATTTCATACTGCTTATTACCCGCTGCGTTGCTAGCGTGATAATACATTTTGAAATGATACACTTTTTAAAAGAAAATTTATCCGATATAATGAGGGGAGCAATTTTATGAACTATTACCAAACACTTTTTTAGATTCCGTGCTTTATTTACTTCAGTTTGATACCACACAACCTATATTTTCGGAGGAACGATTTTTTCATGAAGATGGGGGGACATAGGGAGGTGACAAGCGAGATAACAGAAAAACAAATATGAAACACTTTTTTGGATTTCTTGCCTTATTTCCTTCAATTTGGTACCCCACAACACAGCTCATTTTTTTATGATGATGGGGGAGATAGGGGGGGGGGGGGGGGGTAATAGGGTAGGTAGGTAATGGAAAAACGCTGAAACTCGAGTCATATTATTTTATTAGTAGAGTCTACATATCAATTTTTAAACATCTGTGACTTTTTGTTTCCATGATAAAGAAAATCCCTTTACCTCCTTTCGAAAACAAGTTACCCCTATTTCTCCTCCCCCAGTTAAAATTTCAAAAAACTCTGAAATACCTACGTGTTCACTTATTTTTTTGATAGAATCTAATATATGCCAATTTTCAGATCTTTGCAGCTTCTCGTTTCTGAGATACAGAAATCCTCTTTAATATTTCAACCCCTATTTTAATCTCCTTTAGGGTGAAATTTTCAAAAATCCTATCTTCGCGAGAGCCTACGTCATAAACTCAATACGCCCTCCAAGTTTCATAACTGCAGGTCAAGTATGTAGTTTGGCCTGTGCGTTTATAGTTGATGCCTTACTACCATTCTTTTATTAGTACATCTAGAGATTTAGGAATGGATAAGTCTAAGCATTCAAACAGCTGAACTCAAAATTGCCCTTAGAATAGTCATATTTAAACTTTTTTTGTATATAATTTGTGTTAATATCTGATTTTTCAAAGAACATCCCGACAATGAGAGCTGGGTGATAAGGATCCTCAGGCAATAGAGGGCTGTCCGATGAACCAATACGAATACACAACAAGCACATATTTGACAAGACCAAATTTAGATAGCTATTCATAAAATTACTAATTCTAGATATCTATTAATAATAGTTATTTATGTATCAAGGGAATTATGCAGGTGTTAATACCCCAGGGCAACGTTTGTGTCCCGAGGGCCTCCGGCCCGAGGGACACCAATTGCCCGTGGGTATTAACTCCTGATAATTCCCGTGGTACATAGATAATTTTATATCCTACTGAATTTACTGTATTCTGTCTATTTTTATAAAGGAATAAGCCATAAATCAAAATTTCTATTTTTTGTCAAAGTGTTACCTATTCAAGGTAAAAGCGGGAGTTATGGAAATCCTTAACTCCCTTGGGAGTTATGATATTCCTAACTCCCTTCCTTAACTCCCTTGGGAGTTATGAAAATCCTTAACTCCCTTGGGAGTTAAGACCCTGTTTATGATTATCGTAACCAAGGTATTATATGGTTTTAATAGTTCAGTAGGATATAAAATTACTAATTTCAACCAAAACTTGTTTTCAAATTTTTATTATTATAAATAATTAAGTATATTTAAATGTTTTCCCTTTATTAGTAAAAATAGTGATTTATTATTATTTGAAGGTATCCCTGATGATCAAGGAAAAAGAGCACTGTGCTGGAGAATCTTATTAGGCTATTTACCTGAAGAAAGATCAAAATGGAAAAACGTTTTAACGGAAAAACGAAAATTATACAAACAATTCATAGGTTTGTTATTATTCATCATTACTCGATGTACATTGCACTTATCCACTAATTGTAATTTTCAAGAGGAAATGATTGTGATGCCAGGCGAAAACGAAAGTAACGGTGACGTCACTCAAGGCGATCATCCTCTAAGTATCAATCCAGACAGCACATGGTCTACATATTTTAAAGATAACGAAGTACTGCTTCAAATTGACAAAGATGTACGCAGGTAACTGAACCTAAAAATCGAGCATACAATCGTTAGACTAAAATTTGAAAATTTAATTAGATTGTGTCCAGACATATCATTTTTCCAACAGCCAACTGAATTTCCTTGCGAGGAAATCGTCAACAGTAATGACGTCAAAAGACTGCACACCAGAGTACAAAGGCGAATTTTAGATTGTGCTAATGTCGAACGGAGAGGATTAGGAATAACAAAAGTAAGACGATAAGATTTTTGGCTCATTTAAGCTCATTCTGATTTATTCTCTAGATAGCTCTCTTAATTAAAAAGGCATGCGAGGATTATGCGCCAATGGAAGAAGGCAAAGAGGCGCATTGGGAAGTGGTGGAGAGGATACTTTTTATTTATGCTAAATTAAATCCTGGACAAGGTTATGTTCAGGGGATGAACGAGATTATTGGGCCAATTTATCATTCTTTTGCCATGGATCCTGATCTAGAATATAGAGGTGGGCTTGACAGTTTTTATTCTCGGTTTCATTTCCTGAACTTGTAACAAAATTTTTTTAATATAAAAATGAGACAGACTTCATTTTATTTGTTCTGTTTTCTAGAGTATGCAGAAGCGGATAGTTTTTTCTGTTTCACAAATCTCATGTCAGAAATTCGGGATTTTTTTATCAAAAGTCTAGACGAAACGGACCACGGCATTAATAGTATGATGAGTACGCTGATGATGAGGTTGAAAACTAACGATTTGGATGTTTGGTTGAAATTTCAGCAGCAAGATTTGAAGCCACAGTATTACGCTTTTAGGTATTTTGTGGCGTTATTTACAAACAAATATTAAATAGCTCGGTTTCAGATGGATAACTTTACTACTGTCTCAAGAATTCCCGTTGCCAGACGTCCTCAGGATATGGGATTCGTTATTTTCAGACGAAAATCGCTTCGATTTTCTGATTTATGTTTGCTGTGCAATGATCGTGTAAGAACTTTAAATTTACACATTTTTATGGAATTGATTTATAAATTTTGTAGCATTATGCGAAATCAGCTTCTAGATTGTGACTTCTCATCAAACATTAAGCTCCTACAAAACTTTCCACCGATGGATGTTCAAATCATACTCTCTAAGGCTGTTGAATTGTCAAAAAAGCCTATTTTTTGACTTGGTAAGAGCTTCCTATTTATTAGAATTCTTTTAAACCTTTAAATAACAATTAGAAAAAATATATTGTGATGAATTGATGTAATCTATTTTTGTATATTTTTATATACCTATGTATTTTAGTTATTTTTTTTTTAATAGGTACCTAATTAAAAATCTTATTTTTCTGTTAAGTATATTAGATAGGTATCAATTGCTTTAATTATTATTGATCCAGAACGTCCATTAACTATGTATTATTAAAACGCATTGTATTAAATATTCACAACATAAAAATACTCTCTTAAAAGGCTATGATGAAGGTACGGAATTAAAAATAAATACAGGTACATAATATTCAAAATCTCAAAAAATTGCACAATAATAAAACTGTATTTTACTAGAAATATTGCTAATTTTTAGAAAAACCAATCTTGATGTTATTCGAATCGAGGTTATTCGAATATTTATAATTATTCTTATATTATAAATAAAACTTTTTTGATATATTTTTGTTATTTTTTACTTTTTAGCTAGCTGTACCAAAAATATTGGCAAAAATGGTTTTTTCCCTATTTAGCATGCAAAAGTAATTAGTGTACCCACGTCATGGGAGATTATTACGTAATCCATTTCAGCCTATTTATGTATGTATGTATGTGTTTGATGGAGGTGTCAGTTGCACCACGATGAAGGTTGATCTATTGTACTCCTCCTTCTGCTGCTAAGTTCGTGTTTCCTGCTCAAAGCAGCCCCTCCAGCCCTAGGTCCTTAAGGAACTTTAGGATATCTAGCGGTTCCAGGGTTGGAATGTCTTCCAACTGTATAAGGGCACTTCCCAGGTTCTTCATCCTTGAGCGACTAATGGCATCGCAGTTCAGTAAGTGAGGTGTCTCTTCTGTGTCTTCACAGAATCTGCAGATGCCACTTTCTTCTAACCCCAACTTTTGTAGGTGCTTCTTAAGTCTGCAATTTCCCGAGAGAAACCCGGTTAGAGTCTTTTCTTGCTAAGGTTGACCAGCAGTTCTGATCTTTTTTGGTTGAAGTTGCCCAATACATCTTTGGCCTGTCGTAGTTGGCTGTTCTAGCCATTGTCCGGTTCTCTTCTTTTTTGAGGATTTCTTTGAGGTGCGCATTTCCGACGCCTCAAAATGGTTCTGGCCCAGTGAAGGGAGTAGACGCTCCCGTTCTCGCGAGTCTGTCTGAGCATTCGTGGCCCTCGACACCTATGTGCACCCAGAGGAGGGTTACTTTATTATGTTTTCCCAGTTCATTTAGCTAGATATTCCCATAGTGTCTTAGAATTGATGACCGGGGATCTCAATGCTTTGATAGCTAGTGCTTGGCTGTCGGACATTATTACAATCTCTTGTTTCCGATAACTTCTGTTCAGGTTGAACTGGACGCATCTTCAGATCGCATTAAGTTCCGCTTGAAATATGCTTGGTGATCTCCCCATTGGCCCCGAGTATCTAGTCCGTGGCTCGAATACTCCGGCTCCAGTTCCCTCAGCAGTTTTGGAACCGTCTGTGTACCATTTGATGCTGTTTGCTTCAAGGGATTGGATAGATTCCATGTTCCATCTGTTTTTTGTATTTAGTTCGATGGAAAAGTTTTTCTCAAAACTGAATTTATCAACAATCACGTCTTTTGGTAGATCCATGAGGTGTGCACAGTTTGGGAGAGGAAAAGTTCCGCCAAAGTGCGTTTCCCTTTGTAAACCTATCTTCTCCAATCTTATACATGATCCACTGGCAAACCGCTTCACTATTATGTGGAGTGGTGTGAGGTCTAGACTTTCCGAATCATCTTTTAGTTTTGATCAAAGAGTACATTCAGGCGGTCCCAGCGGCTAAGCTCAGCCACTCAGCAGGGACTCTATTCTCGAAACCAAGGAACAGCGTTCTCATAAGAACAATTGCTCTGTCATTGTCAGTGTTATGCCGGACGACAAAGACAGAACCTTCGTTCCAATGAGAACGCTGTTTCTTGGTTTCGAGAATAAAGTTCCTGCTGAGAGGCTGAGCTAAGCCGCTGGGACCGCCTGAATGTACCCATTGACATAAAATTTTACCGTACATAATAATGACAGAAACAAACACACAGGAATTTTTGGCAGTAGACAAGATACACTGGCCCTTCATACCAGCGCGATGACCCCATATGGACGGTATATGGGAAGCTGCCATAAAATCAACAAAATTTCACCTCCGACGCATGATTGCTAACGTAAACTTTATACTTTACGATGAAATTACTATATTGTTCGCACAAATTGAAGCGGTGTTAAAACTCCCGTCTTCTCACACCAATTTCCACATGTTAATGATTGCTTACCTCTAACCCCTTCCCATTTCCTTATTGGTTGGGCATGATCCATTGCTCCTGTTATACAAAGACACGCGAGTCTTTGCACTTTTCCTAGGCTTTTCATAGTTGTTACTAGCTAGCTGGGTTCAAGGACGTATATAAGGGGGGGGTTTTGGGGGTTCGAACCCCCCCCCCCCCCCCACCCCCATTGAACTGAATAAATATTTTTTTTTAAAGAAAAATAAATGTTTTTGAGCGTGGCACTCGAAAAAATTTTTCGCCTACGGCGATATTCTGAGCTATACTATGCCAGGTTACTTATACATCGTTTGGTCTAAAATTGGAACCCCTTCCAGCATAGTCCACAAGCCGCCACTGCTCTAAACCCCCGCCATGTAAAAGCTAAAAGCTACGTCGTTGGCTGGGTTCGGCTATACCAGGCTACCGCTCCGTACCTACGTGATGTTTTGATGATGGGTCTCACTATCATGGTATACATCCGGCACATGTGAATTATGATGGAACGCGTTGACTTTTATGTGTACGGCGGTGTGGACGATGTTCTTAAATCCTTTTCAATGCTTTCCAATTCCAACGTCAACGACAGCAAATGTGCCGTTGGCGTTGGTAATTCGGTCTGTACACGGCTTTAGGATTGATGGGTGAACCCCATATTTTACCCGCAATGTTTTTGCAGACCATGATTGCCGAAATTGCTTTGCTTTTTGTGTTCTCTACATGTCGGTTCCAGAGAAGTTCAGAATCTAGGGTTATTCCTAGGAATTTAACTTCTTTTTCCCAATCAAGTCAGTGTGGTTTTTGCTGAGTGTAGATTCAGCCCCACTGTCTGACACCATTCCTTCATGGTTCAAAGTTCTTTTTCTATAAGGTCGCAGAGTATTCCTTCGTATTTGCCTCTGACCATGATGAAAATATCATCGGCGTTTCCAAAGCAGTTGAAGCCCTGATCGGTCTGTAAATTTAGGTCATCAACCACTAGACTCCTACATCAAAGGAGAGAGTACCCTTCCCTGCGGACATCCTCTAGTGGTGGTGACCTGTACGGTTTGTTACCCACGTCAGTTTCAGCAGTTCTGGTGGCTAGCGTTTCGCCCATCCAGGTGGATGTGATTTTGTCCACTCCTTTTTTGACGAGCGCATTCTTTATTGTGTCATGAGAGGTGTTATCAAATGCCCCCTCTATGTCCAAGAAGGCGCAGACGGCTACCTCTTTATTATGGAATGTGCTTTGGATGCTGTCAGTGAGCTCAAGTAAAGCGGTTTCTGTTAATCTGCCCGCTCTGTAAGCATGCTGCCCTGGATGTAGTGGCGTCTTTTCTAAAACACTTGTTCTGATGTAGTTATTTACAAACTTTCTCAGCTGTTTTAAGCAAGAACGACGTGAGGCATATAGGTCTATAAACGACTTCGGAAGAGTGGCGTCTCTTTTCCCTGCCTTTGAAATGAAAGTTACTTTATCTCTTCTCCATTGACCTGGGTATGTATCCGGTCGCTAAGCTGTATCTGATGAGTTTGATTAGATACGGCATGATTTCATTTTGCCCTTTTTGCAGCAGGACTGAAAAGATGCTGTCAACTCCAGGCGACTTGAACGGTTGGAACGAGTTGATCGCCCGCAAGTAAGCCGAGGACTGCAAAGGTTCTTGGCAACCTCCCAGTATTTTTGGCCGCCCTTCGTTTTCTTCCAGTATCATTGGATATGCTTACTCGAAAGTGAGTTTCCAGTAGTAGAGCAGCTCGTTGCTCTTCATTTTTTGTGTAACTACCGTCTGGTTTCTTGAGTGTTAATGGTCCTTAACGCCCTGCCTTTCGCCAGAGTTTTGTATAATCTGGCTGCTGATGGTGTTTCTGTAATAGATTCACAGAAGTCTCTGAAGTTTATTCGCTTGGCCTTTTATTGGAAAAACTCCAAACCCGAACAAGACTGGTGACACATGCGCTGGGACCCGGGGCGAGACCTTAACCTCTAACGACAATGTAAACAATGGCCATAGTAGTAAAATTGTTGAAACTGTTTCGCTGACAAACGCGAATCAGGCAATTAATAATGCAATTATAAGCAATATGAATCATGCTGAAGACAACGATGGTTTTTCTACAGTTAGTTATCATCGTGGTAGAAGGAAACAGTTTCGTGGTACCTCAAAGGTTGAAATAAATCAAGAATTTATATATCTTCAAAAGGAAACAAGATGTGGTTTTACGTCGGAAAGGTGGCCCAGTCAGTGGAAGCTGCTAAAATTCGCAGGTACTTAACTCAAAAACTGCCAAATATTAGTGAGGATAACTTAATTATTGATCAGCTTAAAACTATAGGGAAAACCAATTCTTTCAAAATTGGTGTCTTTCCCATTCACTACAATGCTATGAACTCCTGCGAATTCTGGCCTAGTGGTGTGATCTTTCGTAGATTCAACTTCAAGAAAAAACTTGACACATCAAAAGATGACCCTGGTGGCCCAGAGCTGGGATCGTTACTTGAAAAAAGTAACGCGTTACTTTACAGTTACTTTTGCTTAAAAATAACTCGTTACTTAAAATTTACAGTTACTTTCGGATAATGATAACTTTTATTTTCGTTACTTATTGGAAAGTAACGCGTTACTGTAACTTCTTTACTTTGAAAGTAACTTCTTTACTTTAAAAGTAGTTCGTTACTTTTAAAGTAACGCGTTACTTCAAAAATAACTATTTACGTCGAAAATTGCGTTATTCCTTAATTAGACTCACCAACACAGCAGTCCAAACAATCAAATAAGACCTATACGAAATGCCAATATGTTTTTAGTTTGTGAGTCCCGACTATGTGGAAGAGTATTCTTGCAAAATTCAAACGGATTAAGGATTAAGCGACTGAATAGAGCACTTGGTTTTGGACAAACCTCTCTTTGAAGCGTCCCAGTGTCTGCATATAGTGTCTTTGGAGCAGAGGCGGCGCGTGGCACGCCCAAAAACGATTATTTTGAGCTTTCAAAACAAACTTTCTGTACTACCAACATTTTATTTGACATACAAAGTTTTTGGATTACTTATTTTCCTTTTCCTCACTCGTCAATTATTTGTAAAGAAGATAAACAAATTGAGAGAACAAGTT